GCGTCGGCTGGAGAGAGACAACAGCGGCAAATTGGAAATAAGACTTTGAACCGTGACAGCGCCATCCAACTATGGCCAAGGTGATGAGCGAGTCTTGCTCGTCGTGCAGAGCGGCTGTTTTTCAACGCCCTTTAGATTCTGTCAATGAGCTTTTATGTTCCAAGAATGTGTTTGTGCGCTTAATCAAAGAGTCAGGACTGAAATTCCACTTAAGGGGATTTTTCAGAAGGCTTTTCTCACTCGGAAAAAAAAAAAACCTACCAGCCAACGCTTCTCCATCCTCTTCAAGAATATCTTTGAATATTTGTAACATGAATCACTTGAAAAGAGAGTTTGACTTGGTAAACTAGTGATGTTAGTTGATGGCACTTAAACTGTTACTGTGTAATTAAATGTATGTAACTTCAATTGTACTTGTTTTGAAAGGAATACATACTTACTGATTGTATGACCCTACAGTGTCACTTATGCTTTTTCATCATACAAATATTGTAAACAGCCTCTCTCCGCGGTACAAGCATCAGTTCAGCAAAGTTGTTAATATGACAGCTATAGGTCAGAGAATGAAAGTTCAACCACAGGAATTGCAATAATGACAAACAAATAGGATTGGTCCCTAGGGAGCGGGATGACCACTGTCCATAAATACTAATAACCGTCCAAAATCATCACTGTCCTTGGACCCTCCTACATCGGCAAGGAACGAAACCTCTGCTTCCACGGACGGACAGGCTGCAGATCCAGACTTCTGATTCCATAGTAATCCTTGTCATTTCTATTTTATTTGTATTCCGTCTGTAGTGGGACGTCAGTGTGCCTTGAGATTTTGTTTGTTGGAGAAAATTGGTCAAAACAATTGAAAAATGTAGACGGAAATGTATTGCGTTAGTTTGATTTTCAATATACAACACTTTGATGAGAATGACTTTGCATTGTTAATAATAGAAGGCAGAGTTTCATTTTGTATCAGTTTCTGCATCAGTTTGTTGGTGAGGAAACGACAACTTTGTAAAGTCCTCCCAGGACGACTGGTGTTGGAATTTAGGGCAATACAAAAATAAATAAATACATTAAATGAATTGAATAAAGTTGAGTTTCAGCTGGTGGTGGGCCAAATGATTGTGGTGTGGCAAGGCTCCAAAAGATTGGGGAACACTGATTTATTTTGCATTTTATTCTATAGTTGGCTTATTCAATTTTTTGTTGACCCAGAAATCAGCCAATCGGCCAATAAATCGACCAAACGACTGAAGTCTGACCGTCCTATAATATTTCTCCGCACGCAAGATGCATTCAAAACACACACAATGAAGCCCTTTTTATGCTATTGTCAAATTATAGATAGTCTTTTCTGACCACGTTGGGTTGACTCCAACTGATGCCGACTGATGCAGACCGATGCAGACCGATGCAGACTGATGTCGTTCTGCGGCCTGCGCTGAGAGCTGCTGCTGCCACAGGTCGCACACATGAATACGAGCACTACACAAGTGCCTCACACACACACACACAATTTGTCCATTGACTTTGACTCAGTTTCAGTAGGTAATGGGTATCTAATAAAAACAAACAAATACACAAACTACACACAAACACACACACACAATTTGTCAATTTTTATGTCAACGTGACATTGATTTATTTTCAGTAGCTAATGGTATCTAAATAAAAACAAACACACAACGCACACACACACACACACACGCACACACAGAGCTACTGCCGCACAGTCCTCCTGTTTTTGCTCCTCAAATAAAGTAAGAAAAATAATATTGCACAACCAAAATTGACATTAAGCAGTTATTAAAAAGCTGAACTGTTTCCTATAAATGTACAATACTTCTTTACACAGCTCTTCATCATGTCTCACCAAGGTCATCGTGGTGTAACTGAAAATTCAAACAAATCCAAACTGTCTTTTGGAGGAAATTCCAAACACAGACTTTAAACAAGACTTCCTTTTTGCTGAATGACTTTGAATATGTGCTGCCATAACAAAACTAAATCATAAACTGTAGCTATTTGTATTGCTTAGGGATTTTTCCTTTGATCAGCGGCCTTCATCTCGCCGCTTTTCTGATCATTTAAGAGTTGTCTGAAAACGGAAAAAAAAGAAAAGAATAAAAGAAAAAGAAATCGCTTCCTAGAAATCAATGCAGCTGCTGATTGTAGGCGGTGGAGGTGGAAGTCAATTAGTCAGACAGACCTTGGCTTCTACACGACCGCAGAACACACACTCCTCTGATCTCCTAGAACATACATTTGTCCCATTTTGTGTTTTGTTTGAGCCGTAGATGGTCTTAACACAATCAAGTCAGAGGGTTTGCTGCCCCCCTCTGGAAGTTTAGGGAAGTGTGGAAAAAAAAATATCAAAGCAGATGCAGAAGGGTCTGAGGACAGTGATGATCCGGGATATTTATTTAGATTGAGTATTTATGCACGTTGGTCAATCGTCCCATTCTCTACAGAACAATGCTCCTATGTGTTTGTTATTATTATATTTTCTCAATAGTTCAAACTATTTTTCTTCTCTGATCTGTTGAATTGACAACTTTGTGAAGTCCTCCGAGACGACAGATGTTGTGATTTTGGGCTGTACAAAAATACATTGCATTAAATTGAGAGGACCAAACTTAATATGTTTTTTCAGAGCAATGTAACAGTTAGAAATTACTCACATCTCAAATTAAATGAAAATATAAGTCTATTGAGTCTTCATGACAAATCTTCAAAATATCCTTAAACTTAAAACATGTTTAGTCCCTTTCTGTCCATAAGCACATAACAACCCTAGCCCAGCAAACTAGAGTGATCCAGCCTATTTTCAATAACAATTACAGTTTTCAATTAAATAAATAGTATTCAAAGCAATGATTATGTTAAAATTGAATCAGTCTTGTACAGCCTTTTTGACACTACTGCTAGTCAACCGTGTTTAAACCAGGCAAGTCCAAACTAAAGCCCACGGGTCAATTGCGGCCCTCTGTGTCATCTTATGTGTCCCTCTGCCTTGCTAACACAAAACTAGTCTTTGATGTCATTCACACAAGTTGACAGCTTCTGCTCAGTCAAAATAATTAAATTCAATTAAATTCAATGTATTCTTGTATAGCCCTTAATCAAAACAGCAGTTATCTCAGAGGACTTCTCAAAACTGTTGAAATCACCAACACAGATCAGAGAATCACAAAACTATAGACCACATGGCATTGGTCCATGGGGGAGTAAGCATGGTGGTATACTTAGCTTAGAACCTCTAGCTTAGAACCTCTAGAATTCAAACATTGACTTGTTTTTGATTGTACCGTGACATTCCGTTAATGGTGCTAATATTGCTGATGAGATGGTAATTTCTCATTGAGCCAACAGACAATTATAATTTGCTTTGTGACTATACACTGTTTTACTACTGTATTTCTGTGGAGTTGATAATTGTGTGTCCTTTTTCCGAAATTATGAATTCATGTGCATGTATACCATTTTTATTGTCCTGTCTCAATAATGTTTCTTTACGATGAAATCCCTGTTCATTAAAGCACTTTTACTTTGTTGTCAAGAGTGTCTTGGATATTTCTCCTTTTTTGGTCACTGTTGATCCTGATGAGCACCTGACTAAAACTGTCCCACTGTAGCACGCATCTCTCTTGAACTTTAGATAATTATAAAGCTAAGAACGGGCTGAATCTAGTCCAAACTCTTTTACCGGCCCCTGTATTACCGGTATTATTGGCCCCTGGACAAGCCTGGTCAATTAAAAGTGTCTCTCTTACTTAAAGGTTTGGACACCTCTGATTTAAACCAAATAGAAAATAAAGTCCTTTTACAGCACAGGCATAAAACTCCTCTCTGTGAAACTATAAGAACACTTAGAGTTATTGTTAGTGACTCATATCTGCTGCAGTCCAGTCTCTCACTCGTCTCTGGAGCTGGTTCTGCTCAGCGCTGGTTAAACATTGGCTCAGAGTTTGCCTTCCGCCTTCTGTTGTTTTTACACTGACACTGCACCAATTGTTGCAGCCTTTATTGACTCAGTAATTAAAGTATTTTAACCTGTGGATTCTGTCCTCATCGCACACGCGCTACCATCTGGCCCCGACTGCGGCACATGGTCCACAAATGGATTTTAGCTGAGAGCAGGAGATAACATTCAGTCTACGAGGCCATTCAAGAGGAGGGATACACTTGTAATGTATTACTAATTATGGATTAGTGATATATCTACTTTTATCTACTCTACTATTACTACCTATCTGCCTCACTCAACCATTTGTATTTTTTATCAGCGCTGCACTATGCAACACATTTTGAGAGTTGTAAATTATAAAAAATATTAGACTTCTTTATTTTAAATTATTATTAGTTATTGTTCACTCATCTTTTGTTGTGTGCTCCTCATGCCTGCTGTTCTGTAACTGGTGACGCAACACTGACATTTCCCCCCTGTGTAGCAATATTAATGAGAAAAATAAGGTTTCTATATCTTCAAATAAAAAAACATGATTTTAAGTCCCTATTGCTCAGTATAACTAAGTATGGATTAATAATATTTCTACTATTATCGAATCTACTATCATTAGGATGTATCAAGGAGATGTTTAGTACAAGATGTCGTTTTGAACATTCTGATTTTTGAAAACAACATTATGTACTGAGAGACATCCAAAAAGTCTTGCCTTCATCTCTGATCAGTACTGTCCTTGTTCAAGCTGTTACTTTGGGAAGACACCGTGTCTTGGTAGGTTTGCAGTGATTAAATGTGTTCAAGCCACTGTATTCATGTTTGAAATTGCCTTTTAAAAAGTTAATGAAATTAACTAACTAACTAACAAAATGAAATTAAAGTTTGTATCAGCGTGTTTTGATATAAAATTATGAGAAAGTTTCAATGATTTTGTGTTTAATTTACAATTCTTGAAAACATTTTACAAATAAAGTGATGTGTTATCTGTCATTTGAAAATAGTTTTATATATTATCTTTGTAACATTGTGTTTACAGACGCTAGTGTCCTCCTCCGCCCATGAACACTGTGTTTATGGGGGGCAGGGAGGACAGTAGGCCATGCACCTCAGAGGGGACCTGCTGCTGCTGCTGCTGCTGCTGCTGCTGCTGCGACAGGGCGGCGTCATGAGAGGAGTAGGAGCCGCTGAACATACAGGGCGCTGTGACCGACGACAGAGAGGGGCCTGACACAGGAAACATTCAGTCACACTTTGACTCTTGACAATTGTCTCATTAAAATGGCTATAGAGATATATTATAACAAACTGTAGGCGTATATATGCTATGGTCTCTCTCAGTGACGTGCGTTGAGGTTTGTGATTGATACAATCGTCATTCTATTAAAGAAGCACTAATTGCCAATGCAATAACGTCCAAAATTGTAACATAAAGATCAGAGAACAAGCATCTGTTAACCAAATTTAAAAAATCCAGCTGCTGACTATCTGCTCCTTATCACAACATGTCTCAGAATCACAGGTGGGAGAGACACAAGAAGGTTTTAACAAATGTTTTCAAAGAAGGATATTTGAAACAAACAGTGAAATGACAACCAGCACGAGCTGAGTGCACTCGTACAGTCCACTGTGAGGGGCCAAGTGATCGTCTCTTTTAATGGGAAAAACAGGATTTCAGCGATTTTACCAATAATACATTCAAAGCATAGGACAGTGGAAAACGATAACTAAAATAGTAAAATTAAATGATTATTTTTTCTATGATGGCAGGTAAGGCCTCCCCTGACTGCATGCCCTTAGTCTCTCTCTGGTCTCTCCCTAGTCTCTCCAGTCTCTCTAAGATCTCCCTCTAGTCCTTTCTAGCCTCTCTCTAGGCTCTCTCTCTGGTCTCTCTCTGGTCTGTCTCTGGTCTCTCGCTCTAGTCTTTCTCTCTGGACTAACCCTGGTCTCCCGCAGGCCTCCCGCAGGTCTCTCCCTGGTCTCACTCTGGTCTCTCTCTGGTCTTACCTGAGGAGGGCTCCGAGTCTCCATAGAGCACACAGTTCTGTTTCCTGCTGATTTCTCCGAGGAGGTTAAGAGGGTCGTGCGCCTCGGAGAAAGACCCGAATGCTCTCAGACTGCTCACACTGCTGATCACAGACACATGTTGATCCAGAGATGCCATCCTCTCCAAACATGAGCTGTTTCCATAGAAACCTACACAAACAGACACACACATTTTGGTAGATCCAAATATTAACAGAAGCCCCCCATGTCTTGACTCCAAAGACATTCTTGGGAAGAGTTGTCAACTAGCTAATTCATTTAACCTTACATATACAGTACTTCCTGAACATATTAATATAATATTAATTAATATTAATCACACCAGCATGATTTTCAAAGAAAATACATTTTGTCTACATGTATTTCATATTTGAATATAAGCTACAATAATAATAATGCATTGGTTTCATATAGTGCTTTTTTGGACCCTCAAAGACACTTCACACGTCATTATTCTTTCACACCATACATGGTGAAAAACTACTACTGCAGCCACAGCTGCCCTGGGGCACACTGACAGAAGCGATCACCACCAACCATTCACACCATGGATCTATAATAATAGTGTATTACTAGTTTATAGCTTTCCCACCCATAGCACGTGGGCTACCCAAAAAAAAGTCCCATAGAACTCACAGCTCGACCTCAGCTGTAGCAAATATGCTACATTGCCAAATTTGATCATTGATTGCTACTTTCCCATTATTATTATTTTTTATTACCTTCCCCATTGATAACCACAGATTTAAAAAATAATTCAGCAACAAAAATATATTTGGGTTATAAAGAGTTAATGTTGAGGTGTTTTAAGTTGACTCATGATGATCAAAGCAGTCTGGTACATTAAACCTATTTCCATCAAAAAGGCATGCATCCCATCCCTATTAGTCAAATAGAAGTGTCAAAATAATATGTCTATAAACTCTGTTCTGCTGTTCACATAAAGACACCAGGAAGCAGGAATGTTTGCTATATTATTACGTCTGGAGATCTAATAATCAACAATCCTCTATCAACAGCTGATAGAGGAAGCTACTGAGACACAGCTCTAACAAGGCCGCAGGGTTTAAAAAACAAACAAAAAAGTCGAGGCACTCTGGTCCCTCCCTCTCTGGGTCTCCCTCTCTGGGTCTCCCAAGGAGTTTATTTCCACGGACACAGACTTACCGCTGGGAGTCGAGTATCCACTTTGCGCTCCGAACACAAAGCCGTCAGAGTCCATGCCATGATCCGGGTCCAGACCTGATTCTGGCTCTGACTCTGCGACGAAGCCAGAGCGGAGGGAGTCGTAGGCCGGCAGGGAGCAGGGGCCTCTGTTGGTGTGGCTGAAGAACACGTCTTTACTCAGGGACTGGTCGCTGAACGGGGGGTAACGGCAGAGAGAGAAGCCCAACGATGCGCTCTGAGAGGGGGCAGCGGACACACACTGGCTCTGAGGCCGGCTGGAGACATAACACAGTCAGAGTTAAAGATGGGGTACCTAAAAACAGTTTAAAACAGTTTGATTCAATCACTAGCTTTCACATGCGTTTGTTTTTTGGCTTCTATCATTTAACTCTATCTGCTCTTTCTGTGTTCTCTCACTGGTCTTGATCTCTTATCTCTAGTCTCGATCTCTAGTCTCGATCTCTAGTCTCGATCTCCAGTCTCGATCTCCAGTCTCGATCTCCAGTCTCGATCTCCAGTCTCGATCTCCAGTCTCGATCTCCAGTCTCGATCTCCAGTCTCGATATCCAGTCTCGATATCCAGTCTCGATATCCAGTCTCGATATCCAGTCTCGATCTCCAGTCTCGATCTCCAGTCTCAACCTCCAGTCTCGATCTCCAGTCTCGATCTCCAGTCTCAATCTCTAGTCTCGATATCCAGTCTCGATATCCAGTCTCAATATCCAGTCTCGATATCCAGTCTCGATATCCAGTCTCGATCTCCAGTCTCGATCTCCAGTCTCGATCTCTAGTCTCGAGCTCCAGTCTCGAGCTCCAGTCTCGATCTCTAGTCTCTCTCACTGGTCGGTCTCTGGTCACTCTCTTGCGCGGGTCTCTCACGCGTCTCTCGCGTGTCTCTCGCGCGTCTCTCGCGCGTCTCTCGCGCGTCTCACTCTGGTCTCTCTTAGGTTTCACTCAATCTCCAGTCTCAATCTCTAGTCTCAATCTTGTCTTTCTTATCTAATACGCTATACACCTTTTTGCAGCATGATTGTTCCCAAAGTTATGGTAAAAGTTCTTGACAACCACTACTGATAACAGACAACTTTATAGTCCATACATGCTTGGATGTTAGTTGGATTGGTTCCATAATTTGATATGAATCCAGCTGTGAGTGGCGTCTTCTGTTGCAAGCTACAGGCTGTGTATGAATCATACACCCCCGTAACTGGGGAAAAATATCATGTTGCGAATAGGTGTTTATACATTACAGAATGTGACTTTTACAAGAATCATTCTGCTAGGACAAATAACATTTATGAGGGAAACAAATTAGAGAGATATGTACGGTAAGTATGTAATTTTTATATATAGTGCATTTTACAGACCAAGGCCACCCAAAGCGCATCATAGATAGATAAGAAAAAAATACATCAGTCATACAAACATAAATAATAATAAATACATAATTTTAATATTCAAGTTAGGTACTTTAGCTTTAAGTCCTGCAGTGTTATACATCCTACAAATATTTACAAACATTGTTAATAGTATGTCTGACCTGAGGGAGAGTTGGTAGTTGGATGCCGGGCTGGCTGGAGGGAAGTACCCAGTTCCGGTCTGATACAGGGTTTCCCCGTATGAGGAGCAGGGGCTGGGCTGTGTCAGGCTGAGTGACGACTGACACGAAGACGAGGACGTGGAGGAGGGAAAAGGCCGCGCCGCCATCGGACCCTGGTTTATGACGGAGCCACGGTGCGCTACCCCCACAGGAGAGATAGGGGGCGTCATGAGGGTCCCAGTCACTTGGGAGAAGTCCAGTTGGGAACCTAGGAGCAAAACAAGAGCAGTATGTTATATGTTTAGAGCAGGTAACAGTGAATACTGAGAAATAATAAAGAAACAAGTGTAAAATCTCTAGCTTTATCGTAATAAAGGAGAAAATATGAAATCTCTAGCTGTAGCATAATAAAGAAGCAAGTATAAAATCTCTAGCTTTAAAATAGTTTTGTTTTTACCAGTTAATGCAAACATGGATGGTTCTGTTCCCAGATAAATGCTTGTGTCTGCTACAGTTTGTGGATGATTCACTGTCGATACATAGGACGGTTCGACTAGAGACTCATTCTTCACTGATTGGTCAGAGACAGCATTAGCTTTGCTGCGATTCGCCAAAAAGCAGGAACTGGGTGATGCCATGAAAGCCGCTTTACTGGCATCTGAAAAAAGAATACAGACGTGGTATTCAGCCCCGTTTGTACAGATGACCCAATTCTACAGTTAAGTTCTACAGCTTTTGAGCCAATGATTTTATTACCTGCGTTTTTCATGTATTTGTCCAGGAGATTGCGTAGCTCCTGCTCCTTGTCGTTGTTGAACTGAGTTTCCAAAGCCAAAAGGATGTATTCGTCCAGCAACATTCGGATCAGGTGAAAAGAGCCTGTTTTAACACAGAACAAGAACAATGAGAAACATCCTCTTTAGGAAGATTGAGTCAATAATCAGAAATAAAACCTCAACTACGTATATTAGATTCAAGATTTTATTTGTCATTTGCAGTAAAGCCAAATTGGAAAACCGGGCAAGACTACCCCAGTGTGCACCAGAGCTCCTGCCACAGTATGTAGTAATTACAATCAGTGGTCTAATTACCTGTACGTCTCCAGAATCCAACTTTTGCTGCCAGTACAGTACAGTACAATCTCTGTGTATTACATATGACTGCATATTTTTTTGTACTTGGTGTCATTTAGTTAGGTGTGGTGCTATTTTTAGTTTGTGAAATTTGTAAAAAAATATATTAGTAAATAAATAAAGGATTCACAAACCAAAACTAGCACCACACTAGCACAACCAGCTATAATGATCGACCCATTCTGCTCTCTCCCTTAACACCAATTTTTGTTCAGAAAAGGTGAAAATTGATGTGTACATGTGACTTCATATCTGGGGACACATATTAAAGATGCAGAAGCTATATTAAATGAAAATATGAAGTACTGTCCTCATTGAAGGAGTCCAATAGTTATTTGTTTACTTCCTTCCTTCCTTGTTGCCCTCTTCCTGGTATCTTGTGTTCTGCTGGTCCTGACCTTTAGGCAGCGGCTGTGACCTGTGTGAGGCCGAGCTCGCGGTGAGTGCCACATGTTCTTGTTTATTCACGTCACGAACTGTTTGAGTTTGAGCAAAGAGGCACACGACGTGCAGATAAGAGCTGTTTGATCAGCCCTGCACTCCCCTTACCATTTATGAGGCTATTGTGACAATCTGCTGCTGATGCTGCAATCTCTGCTTTGTATCAAGTTGAGTGAACTGGGTCTAATCTTCAAATTGATAACATCTTAGCTGTAGTCGACCAAAGACATACTTGGGAAATGACTATGGTTGTAACAAGTTCAATTTAAATTACAACAGTAGTTACTGTATCTCTGAGGACTTTCTCTCAATTCGCCAAACAGGAAATGCAATGATACAAACACATTGGTCCATAAGGGACGGATGACCAATGTCCATAAATGTTTATAAATGTTATTGAATTTTGTCACCACTGTCCTTAAACTCTAAAAATCCAGTGGGAGAAAAGTGAGAAACCTCAGGGAGGCCCACGTTGAGGGAGGGATCCCCACCCACGGACGGACTATAGATCCAGGACTCAAGCCGTAGAACAGGTTAAACGATTAATCACAACTAGTGCTGTCCAAAGTATTGTGTTTTTAAAGCGTTAACGCCGTCCATTTTTTAAATCGCGCTAATAAGTTGTGTTACCAACATTACATGTAGTTTTTTTTTAACTGTAGCCAATGTTAGTAGCGTTAGAAAAACTACAGAAACAGGAACCGGAACCCTTCCCACCATCCCCTCCGCCAGTGTTTAGTTTGTGTTTTGCCTTTTAGTCTGTTGCCTGCTCATTCAGTGTGAAAGAAACTGTTTTCAAGCGCGAACTGCCGAGACAGATGTTTACAAGGTTCTGAACGGAAATTTTAGTTTCAAATAGTTTGCAGAAGGGTTGACAGAAAAGACCCAAGTCATCTGTGCGTATTGTTGGTGTGAACTAGTCATCACCATAGCACATCCACTACATACACCTGATGCCAAACACACGTCTGATGCGAACTCTCCTCCTTCACCACGTTCTTGTCAAGACATATGGATGGCACAACACAGAACAAACTGTTAGTTACGTTGCTACTTTATTTTGTATCACCCTGTTTTGATCCCTTAGAGGGTAGTTGAAGGGGCTTTTTTGTTAGCAATGTATACATATTATGCATCTGTTAATGGACAGTATTGAATTGTATGACATTATGCATCACGTTATCAATTTTAAAAAAACACTTCTATGTTAATAAGAGTATTGAAATGACATGAAGAATAGATTAAAATGTGCCATTAATTATTTAAATATCTATGACATTCATGCAATCAATAGCAATTAAAAAAATTAATTGTTGGACAGCACCAGTGTTGGGTATGTTACTTTGAAAAAGTAATTAGTTATAGTTACTAGTTACTTCTCCCAACAAAAACTGAGTTACTAACTGAGTTACTCCACTATAAAAATAACTAGCTACCAGTAAAAGTAACTATTGCATTAATTTTTCGTTTGTTGTGGTACTGAGCTTTAGGTGGTTGTCATTTAGGATAACTTCTAAGTAGATGAATTGTTGCAACAACGCCACCCTATTTTAGTATTAGTATTATATGTTAGTAAAGGGAACTGTCCTGCAAGGCACACAGGTAAGACAGGCCAAGGTGCCATTTGAATTACATTGCATTTATGTTTATCCATTGATCAAACAAAACGCATTATAAAACTTGCAATTGAAAGAGACTATTTTAAAATAATTAGTTCCCACATACACACACGGCCCCTCCGTTCATTAGCCCTCGCACCTGACAGACCAGAATTAGGGAAAATACAGTGCGCAGAGCACGGCCAGAGCATCTACAGCCGCTGGAATAATGTGAACGGAGCAATCGCTTTTTGACTGACTAAAATAGTGTGCATATCTCCACCGGTAAAACTAATTCCTCTCCTCTGGCTCTGCCATGTTGCTTTACAAACAAACTCGCTCATGCGCTCAACGTGACGTAAGCACGCAGGCAGCGGTAGTGCCGTTTCCCCTGCTTTCCCGAGGCCGGTGCCGCCGGTAACAAAGTATTTAGGTAGTAAATGTACTATAATTAAACGTATTTTCATAATAACACGTAACACTACTACGTTACTCAAATTGCAATAACGCGTTACACCCAACACTGGACAGCACTAATCACAACTATTTGATTATTGAACTCAACTAATTCACTAAACAATTAATTGTTTTTTAAACCTTGACAAGGTGTTTCAACGCACAATTGACTCATGATGATCAAAATTCAACCAATTTTTGACAAAACGCATGCATCCCAACCCTACTAAAACTGTAGTCCAGATAATAAGTCCATAAACTCTGTTCTGCTGTTCACATAAACACACCGGGAAGCAGTAATGTGTGCTATGTTATTAGGCCTGGAGATCAAACAGCTGACAGAGAAAGACACAGCTATTACAAGGCTGTAGGGTTCAAATAACAAAAATAGTAGAGGCTTATAGTCCAGAAAGTACAGTACTAACGTGTTTTTAGATTTATTATGTATTGTTTCTCACCAAAACTGGAAGCATTGTTCAGGGTCAGATTGTGCATCACTCGGGCACCGAAAAAACTCCACCTCAATAAAAAGTCCTGGGCTCGTTTCTTCACTGAACGGCCGCTCTGTTTGCCAGGCTGTTGAACGAGAAGAATATAAACACACACATAAGGAAACGCACACAGATACACAAGAGACGGAACACAGTGACGCTGGTCTGCACCTTGATGACTTTGTGCTCCAGGACAGAGTCTAACCATTCAATAAACGATTCCACCGTGGCGTTCTTCCTCAGCAGCTCTTTAAGCTCCTGAAACACACTCACCGAGTCGTCTGTACAGAAGAAAGACACGCAGGACGTTTAAGTTAGATTTACTTTGACTTTTTTACATGTTTGTGTGTTTCCTGTCTATTTCAACAACCTTATTGAAGCCAAACGTAACATGCACATTTCTCCATTGTGAGATCGATAAAGTTTTAGCTCTCTTATATAGAGCAAGGCAAGTTTATTTGTATAGCACAGTTCAGACACGAGGCAACTCAAAGTGCTTAACAAGATATAGAAACAATCACACAAGGCATTTAAATCATGAATAATCACAATACATTATAAAGAAAGAAGAGACAATCCTTCAGTTTTACGCACAGCTAAACAAAACTGTTTTAACCTGGATTTTAACATTGTCAGAGTAGAAGCCTGTCTCACATTTTCAAGAAGACTGCAGCATGGATCTGAAATGCTGCCTCCCCAAGTTTATCCTTTAAAACGCAGAGATGTCTGCCTCTGTTTCTGGTTGTGAATGTGGACCTCCTGCTCTTGCTCCTGCTCTCGGGGGTTGCCACATCTTCCCATCCCTTTCCTAGAAGCCTGTCTCATGTTTTCAGGAGGAGTGTTCCAGATTTTTGCTGATTTCTGTCCTCGACCCAGTACAATTGTCCCTTTGTACTTTACAGGTGAAACTCAGGAAATTAGAATATTGTTCAAGAGTTCATTTATTCATGTTATTCAACAGTGAAATGTGAAACCACTACATGTATAGACTCGTTGCAGGAAAGTGACAAGCCTTTGTAAGTAAGTAAGTAAGTTTTTACTAAGCGGTTTACAATTGTTAATTTTGGGCATTTGTCTCTCACTCCACACAGAGATGGGAGCGGGGTCGCCAGTCCAGGAAGCGCATGCCAGAACTATTGGACATATTTTTAGTGGTAGGGGAAACCGGAGTACCCGGAGGAAACCTACACAGACACGAGGAGAACATGCAAACTCCACTCAGAAAGGCCCTGGTCCGACTGGGATTCGAACCCAGGACCTTCTTGCTGAGAGGCGAGAGTGCTATCCACTCAGCCACCGTGCCGCTTTGTTTGTTATAATGTTGATCATTATGCCTTACTGTCAACTTTCAAAATAGATGTTTTACCAACTTTGAGCCATAATTAATTACATTATTACAAAGAAAGGTTTGGTATATCTCACTTTCTGTAATGAGACGGTCATATATTATTAGTAGTTGAGTGTGTTCACAGTAAAGTGACAATTGAAGTATCTGGACTTTAAAAGGTTATAACTTAAAAACTAAAATAACTTTCATAGATTGGACGAAAGATTTCAAACACAGACACATTGAAGAGATAGTGTGGAAAGAATCTAAAGGAAAGATTGACATAAAAATTTTTAGCAACACTTTAAACGACCAAATTAGACTCTGATTGGACCATTCTACTGTGACGCCAGTTACATAGAAAATAAAATGTCCTCAGTCTGAAAAAGCAGAAGATGAAATCCCACAAGATTTACATGGTTAACACAACATCAGTAAATCACTTGATATAAAAATAAATTAATTAATTAAATGACCCTTGAAAAATGTATAACGGACGTGATGAGGACGGTCCTCTTTTCTCTAAAAATTAAACTTGAGAAAAAAAAAAAAATCTGGTCTGTTTTCACATTTAATTGGTTGACGATATGAAAGTATCACTTTGCATCTACTTTGTGTAAAAAAATAGAATCTCTGAATCAAATGTGGACATCTGAAAATACCTATCAAACTTCCACAAAGCTCATTCCGTCAAATCATCACGTCCGTTACATAAAATAAAAAGGGCCGCAATAGGAAACTTGTCTAATGTATAAAACAGTTTTGTTCTAGCAACTTCTAATGGACAGAGGAGGTGCTTGGAAACATGAAAAACATAAAATATCTTCTGATTATTAAAATCTAATTTTTGGCCTTTTGTCACACTTTTGTGCCCTTTAGTGTGAACAAGCCCAGATTGTAAGTTGATTCACAAATTCCTAATTTGTGACTTCCAGTAACTTACAATGACAATCAAAGAATTCTGAAATAGATTTTGTCCGAAGTTGGCCAGGTAGAGATTGTGATGGGGTCTTACACTCGGAGTAGATCTGGTCCTGGTCTCCTGAGGAGCCGACACTGAGGAGAGGCTGAGAGCTGATGTTGTTAAGGTCCAGACTGTCGATGTCCAACACCATTCCAGTCACTACCGCTTGGTCAAAAAGCGCTGGACGAGCAATCTGAATCAGCAACACAATACGTTACACAATACTACGGATGAAAACTATTGCTTTATTCTTCATTCCAAGGAACACATTTCTGGAATCTTTTTAAAACAAGATACTTTTTCTTGGCCCATTAGCAAATATTCAGATACATTTAGCCAAACTTTTCGTCACTTTTTGCGGTGTACATTACAATACAATTCAGATAGCAGCAGTAGTATTTTTGCATTCTGGCTAAATACCTGGGCTAAATGTAAGAATGAAGTTTGTCTCTTCAAAGAGGACACAAAGCGGCGTGCAATGGGCAGCTTTTTTGCAGCGAGGCTTTCAGGCAGGTTCTCCAGAGAGGACGCTAACCAGTTCTCCCAGTGTTTCGCAAAATTACGAATATCGGCCAACAAGCTGCGAGATACAAACACATAAAATGTGCAGAAACAAGGTAAGTAAGGGTACGTTCACAGTACTCGGTCTGGTTCTGCTGAAGTTCCTGACTTTCAGACTTTCACAAACAAAAACAAAATACTTATAGTTTGTAATAAGGAAAAGAGCCAAAATCAGGTACATTTCATCTAACAAACAGTCGAGCCAAACAAGAGATTCCTTCTGTTCTTTGACTTAACTTTAAACTTTTGTTCAGAAAAGGTCAAATATGATGTGTACATGTTTCTTTGTGCTGGGAGCTGATTGGCTGAGTCAGGGCGGTCCTCTCTTTTTCCGTCTTTTGTGGCTGAATTCAAAATCTAAAGATGTGGCCGAGGCCAAAAATAGATGAATTTGAAAACTACCGCTGAAACAAACAGATATTGGTGTAGTTCAATGTATGTGATTACATTGTTCAAATGTTATCGTTTGAAAGTCAGGTACCCCAGCTTTAGGTGACTTGTGGAAACATTTGTTTGGTGGTTTTGCATCCACAAATAAAGCATTTTTGCTGCAGGTGAACCAGCATTGGTCCAGTTAGAGTGAACCAGACCGAACAAACGTGAATGCACCCTCAATGTCATTACTGGTAGTGAAGAACATAATAATATTTATTACAATACATTTTATTTATTTCGCACCTTACATTTCCACAAAACCTCAAAGTGCCAAAACAATTTCCAAGTGGTAACCTTTTGTTACTTACGTGGCAATAAAAATTATTCTGATTCTGATTCTGATTAAAACACAATACAGGAAACAACATCAAAAAGAGATAATTCTACCTTTCTGGCATCTCTTGCATCGTGGCAGGAATAAAGACATCAGTTAAAACCTGACGGAGAAGAATGCAAAATTTAAAATATTTTACAACAGCAAAGGATCAGAGCGAGAGTGCGAAAATATATTGTAATTTCCAGACCATAGACCAGAGAGAGAGACCAGAGAGAGACACAATTTATTGCCATTTCCATTCCATTCCACTTGGGACAGACCTTGTACAGAATAGAATCGCACACACAGAAGACGTCCACTATGACTGGGTTCTCCAGCACCGACAGTAGGTGGTCGGGCATCCCCTGCCAGAAGTGCAGCAAGAAGTTCTGGATCTGAAATAACAGATCAGTCAGAGTTCACTTAAATAAAAAAATAAAAAACTGACAATGGATAAAAACGACTACCTCCTCAAAGTTGACGTTGATGGCGTTATCAAGGATGCACTGACAGTGGGTCTTGTACATCATGATCAGTGTGTCGACCTGCGAAAAAAAAAACCAACCAGGTCATTGAAATATGTTTATTGATTACTCTAGAGTAGACTAGAGTACTTTTGAAATGTATACATGTATTACTGATTATGCAATGAAGTGGTAGGCGTTTTTAAGTATTTTTTACTTCTGCCTACACCTTTTCAACTCTTTATACAGTTATACATTGTTGTTGCTGTATCAACTGTGTGTATTGCTTGGAGCTCAAATAAACAATCTGAACTGAACTGATTTCCGAATGAACACAGAACTACAATTATTGATCTATTGCACAATACTTCCTGGACAATAAACATACTTGAATAAGTCTTGTTGTAATGTAAAACTTAATGCATCTAAATATATTTTTCTATAGCCACAACAATAGTCATCTTGAAAGACTTCAGAAAACTGTTGATTCGCCAACACAGATCAGAACCCACAGCTAATACACGAGAGATGACTTGTCTTTTGCACAACTATTCCAATGTGTGTGAAAACTACAAATGGCAAATAAAACTGAATCTGTATGAGAGTGAAATGTATCCTGCTCTGACCTTTTCCCTGGGGACGTTTCCCTGCAGGAGAAGGTGCTGAGCGCTGGGGAAATCTGGGAGCAGTGTTCCAGTTTTAGAGCTGAGGGAGTATTTTCGAGTGAAGCCGCCCTGAAAAAAACACAAAAGTTAAATCAGGGGTGTCCAACTGTGGCCCGGAAGATCAATTATTGCAAAGGTTCTGAAAATAACCCACAATAAGCAAAGTCTTTGAGGAAGCAGCTGTATATTTAAAGGCTGTAAATCCCCTCACACACTTTTCTAACAACCTGAACTCATGACTCATGAAGAGCGACCTGTATGTTGTAGGTCTGAGCGCGGCTGCAGCTGTCAAAAGCTGTGCATGGACTGTAAAATACACCTGTAGAGAAGACTGCGCTGAGGGACAGGAGCAGCGCTATGGAAAGATCAGAGAGAGACCAGAGAAAGATCAGAGAGAGAACAGAGAAAGATCCGAGAGTGAGCCCAGAGAAAGACCAGAGAGAAAGGCCAGAGTGAGAGACCAGAGAGACCAGAGAGTGATACCAGAGAGAGACCAGAGAGTGAACAGAGAGAGAAACCAGAGAGAGTCCAGGGAGAGCAGAGCGTGAGACCAGAGAAAGACCAGAGAGAGAAACCAGAGAGAGACCGGAGAAAGACCAAGGAGAGAGACCAGAGAAAGACCAGAGAGAGAGACCAGAGAGTGAGACCAGAGAAAGACCAGAGAGAGACCAGAGAAAGACCACAGAGAGAGACCAGAGAGAGACCAGAGAAAGACCAGAGAGAGAGACCAGCGAGAGAGACCAGCGAGAGAGACCAGAGAGAGACACCAGAGAGTGAGACCAGAGAAACCCCAGAGAGAGACCAGAGAGAGACCAGAGAGAGACAGTGAAAGGTGAACCGTATTATTGATAGCAACCACAATATAATTGATCATCACTGATGTTAAGTCAGGGCTACTATAAGGCTTGTTATAAATAATTTTAAAGCTAAAATCCCCAAGAACCAACCATATACTGTAATTTAATACATTTGCAACATTTGGTCCAGCTTTTGTTCAATCAACATTTTGTCCAGAAAAATCTACCAGAAATAATCCAAGCATCCAAACTCATATTTAATAAAAGTAATTAAGAATATTTCCCAGTAACAGTTGTAGCGTTTATTACCTCATTTTTCAATTTGCTTCCAGAAAACCTGCAGACACAATAATACGATCTATCAGATACTGTGACACTGACGGTAAATCCAATTAGACAACACCAACATCACTCATTAGCAACACTTAGAAAATACTAAAGTTGCCTCACCTGGTCAGGCCTTTCCCAGAGTACACAGAATGATAGTACGCACTGCTCTCCTTGATGCCAATGCCGTAGTAGTGATACCTGCACAGAATATTACTGATTATAAATTTTGCAAACAATAATTTCATATAAAGTGATGCTAAAATATGTACTTGGAGTGTCCTCTGGTTCCTAGACGTCTTGTTGTCAGCAGCGGAAATTTCTGTCGAATTGTCTGAAATAATGAAGAGATATAATAGTTACATTTGATGAAATTAAAATCTCAATTTAATTCCAATAAATTCATTCATATCAAGGTTTAGGATTAGGGTTTCATAATAATAAGTGTTTATTTCTTACACATACAAATAATTTCATTATTGTATAGCCCTAAATCACAAGGGCAACAGTAAAATGAATCACACCAGTTCCATTTGAAGAGAAAGTAAGTTTGTCCACATATAGGCCGCACTGGAGTATAAGCTGCATTTAAGCCTCCATATTGTAATAACACAAAACAAAGCAGAAAGACCACTGTTTTAACTGGACACAACATAATTTAATGACAGGGTGTTTTAACGCACTGTTAAACTTAAATAACACGATGAGCTCTGGGGGAGGCAAACATGAGCTCACATTAGCATCCTTACCTTAACTGCTAGCTATACATTTTAACAATAAAGTGCGTTCTATTGCTACTAAAATTATAGAACGCAGTCAAAACAATAAAGTCCATAAACTCAGCTCTATCAACAGTCCTAGTCCTGTGTATTTCCCAGCATACTGTTAGCTCTCTCTGGATAATGTAAGCTCTCTCTGTACCCTCTTAGCTCTCTCTGCATGGTGTTTCCAAACATAAAGAACAGCTGATCTTAGCCTGCATCTTTGGAGATAATCTACCACCATAAAAACCCGTACAGTGGCTGCATCGCTTTATAGGCCAAAGACGGGTCAAATATCTTCAAAAAGCACTGTCTTTTGAAAGATATTTGAATCATTACGATAAGTCGGAGAGCAGCAGTTAAGAACACATGTTTTTTCTATGAGAGGTACAATGTCAGAGATTTACAGATGCCGTACTTTCCCGAAGGTGGCAGCGCAGGCCGGCTCCAGCTTCTCTTTGCGGCAGAAGTCCAGGTAGTGAGCGTAGAGGATGCAGCGCGGCAAACAAACGCCGTCACACACGATATAGTTCTCCTCCAGCCTGCATAAACACACACGTACACACACACACACACACACACACACACACACACACACACACACACACACACACAGACAGACACAGTGACACACAACAAACACAAACAACCCAGACACCCACAACCAAGTCACACATAACAAAGAAGGTGTCAAAGTTTCCCAATACTCTCTATATTTTCAAACTATAGCGCTTTAACAATGGTAATCATTCATTTGACAGCACATTTTGTAAGACATTAATTTGTTTTTGAACCAAACTTTGTGGTATTTTACTGCAGGATTGATACTATTAACAAAATTGTCAAACTATAAGCCTTTTGTTTTTTATGCCTATGCCGCAATGCAATCAGTGTATGTATTCTTATTGTGGTAGATTGGTTGTTGTCAAAGAGTTCATGGGCTTATCATTTTTGACTCAATCAAGTTTTAGTATCTTTAGGATGCTTGTTTATTGTCAAAATGCATTGGTGAGGGAGCTTAAGTCAGCATGATGCTAACGTGATTTGTGATTTTATTGTTTTGTCCATAACAAGTCAGCAGTGCATTAAAACACCTCTTTAACTTATTTTGAAACTATATCAGCCACTGGCCCCATACAAGTATCATTACTCATTATTACTCTAGGCTTCACTAGTTTTCACATGCCACAGTTTTTAGCCTCTGACTCATCTTTAGATCAGCTTTTTCAGTGAATAAGAGAGGACCAGCCCACACTAAACCAATCAGCTCTCACCATTTTAAAGATGTTTCCTAATAAACAGGCGTTGTGGTTGGATTTGTTCACAATTTGTTACTTCAATAAGCAAGTTTTTTTTATCTGTTGGGGCGTGTACAATATTTATGAAACAGAATGTCTGAGGTCAGCTCAACAATTGAGGTGACCTTAGACATTTCAAACTTTTACAGATTTTGAAGTACGGGAGCCAATATTTTTGAGCCTTAGTCATTAATATAATAAAAATATGTATGTTACCACTGCAGAGTAAGATGTGTCTGTTTCTTCTTGTCTTTGATGATTTGGCTGATGCTTTTCCGGGACACAGTCTGTTTTAAACTCAGGTTGTAATCCACGTTGTCCTGCTCCTCCTCTGATGACGGCGTCTCGTTACTCTCGTCCTCTTCTTAAAAAAATGTGTCATTATTACTAACACAGCAAAAAACTGATGAAAAGTAAATTCTGCAAAATGTTTCTTTTGTTGAGCACATCTTCACTGCCTTAAAACAAGATTTGCCAATGGGTCAAGCTAAATTATGTTGTTTTAAAAAGATACAAGAAATGTCCCCCTTGGAATGAAAAAATAAAGCAACAGTTCTTGAAAAAAGACTAAACGGCTTTGTCCCATTGGCAAATCTTTACGGAAGACATTAATATAATCAAAAAATAATAACCTCATATTTCATCATTTTTTGCAGTGAAGGCATGGAACAGGGTGAGAAGAGAAAATAAGTCCACAAATGAAATAAATAATAATTAAAATATTTAGAAAAACATATATATATATATATTATACACACACACACACACATTTTCTTTCATTCGACACTACACTTTGTGTTGTTTATAACCGTTTCAAATACAATACCACAAGCACACATATTCAAACAGCTGCTGTGATAAAAGGCTATATGTGATACATATAAAAATAAAAGTCACCAGATTTAATTTGCGAGTCCTCCTCCTTGTGAAATAGTGTTTCTTCTGGAGAACTGCACAGAGGGTGAACCAGGAACAGTCCATCTTTGGAGGAACAGTCACGTTTCATTGGCATCGTGTCACAATGAGGAAAAACCCGTCACAAGAGATAAAAAAGAAACAAAGGAATGACAATAAACATATACGCAGAACTTTGAACAGCGACTGCATTGGTCCTTAGCAGTTTTAATCCATGAACATTTACAGAGCGGCAAGAAAATTCCACTTTTTGGTGAGAGGCATATTCAAAGAAGCTTGTGGTCCACCTGTGCTGATGTAGCTGAGGCTGGTGTTTGCCATATTTACAGAGGACTGTCTAGAGCTAATTCATGTTATTAATGATTAACAGACAACTCCTCACCCATCTGTCCATCCATCCATCCATCCATCCTCCCTCCCTCCCTCCCTCTCAGCTGGCTATGGATAACCCATGAATAGATGGGAGGCATCAGCGGATTCACTTATACTTGTACTATATATGAAATGTCCCCTCTGTGGGACAAAAAAGGATCTCTTGATCATAACGTTGCATAATGGATGAATGAACTGCAAGGATAAAAATAGGTGTTTAGATTGTGTAAGATTACTACATCCTGGATGACCACCCAGACCTACACTAGTTATGTTTGTGTGATTGTAAAGATTATTGTCCTGGCCCCTGCCCCCACTGAAAATGTCTTACTGGTTAATTTATTTCGATTGTATGAAGTTGGATTTCCACAGAAACATGACTTCAGTGAAGGTTATCTGGGGTTGAAGATCAATTAAGTTTGTATTTTCCAACTAGTTATTATCAAAACTGGGTTACTTAACTTCAACGCCACAAAAATTGAGCTATGTAATACAATCCATCTAACTAGTTCCTCGCTTTTATAACAGTTTGATTCTATCGCAATTGTTTTCACCTGCATGCATTTAAAAACCACCCACATGCAGCCAATCACCTATCAGCCTCAAGGGTCGAATAGTGACTAGTATTTAAGTGCAAAAGACAAAATAATTTACAATATGATCAAAACAGCACACACGTATACTCTTGCATGATTCTTTCTGTTGGGACTAGCTAATACATCCATGCAAACAACGTGTAATGTAAATGTTAAAAGTGACTTAGATTCCCCAGCTTTAGCTTTAGCCAAAAAGTCCCCAACATGTTCCTGTAACAACATGTTTAATGTATGTTGATATATGTAAACAAATATATATATAAATATAATCTAAGTGCACCAAGAGGTGGTCCAGATGTAATTCAACTGACCAGGTCAGATTTGGAGGGAGAGCCGTACGCAAGTCCTCAGTCCAGACCTATGGTCCAGTCCAGACCATGGATCTAGGTCCAGACCCGGAAGAGACAGTGGACTTGAGCTACTTCCGCATGGCGACCGTGAGGCCGACAGCCGCCCCTCTCTGACCCCTCTGTGGTAAGACTTTCAACTGAAGCCATGTGTGAAACGTGTCAGTATCACAACATGTTATAACAGCTAGTCCTGTTGAAGCCTCCTGTAGACGCTGAAGGACATGAGTCTGAGTGGAACAAACAGAGCTAGCTTAGCTTTAGCCGCGTGTTTCTCTGTCTGTGGGCTGTGGGCAAGGCGCCATTTGTCATAGCTGTGACCAAAGCATAGACTGTAAAATATGATCAAAGTCAAACCATCGCAGCGCGATGATATAATGAAATCTATTTTCGGGCTATGGCTCCGGTACTATCGAGTATGTCGGAGATGTGTGTGTGGTTCCCGGGGAGGGTTGCGCTCGCCCGAGTTTGGTATGGACCAAAGTTGGATACTTCCGCGCTCCAGTTGCCTCTGATTTTAGAAGTATCTGCACAATGAATGAGTGAGTCTGAGCCTAAAAAGCACAAGGAGCGATGACTTTAGTGAAGATATAGGCATGCACAATAATTGCCAGACCAGTCTGAGCCGTAATATCTTTCGATGAAAAAAATAATACTACAAGTGTCGGTGTATCCTTAACAAGACGCTACATCCACACTGCCGAGAATGAGTCTTATAATGGAGAGACCAATGACACAGACTGGTTGCTTTGTTTCTATCAGTCTGCCCCAGGGCAGCTAGGGCCACAGTCATAGTATGTTCATGTTGTATAGGGAGTATAATTTTGGATACACATACACATCAGGATGATGATAAACACCACCAAGCCTTTTAGCCATTGGTTCTTTCTACCTAAATTTGCATCAATAGACGTTTGATTAATCGATTTTATGAGTTAGGGCTGGGATAGACTGTTGATCTAGGTCAGTGGTTCTCAAACTTTTTAGACCAAGTACCACCTCAGAAATATTTGCCTCTCCAAGTACCACCACAAATGACCCACACTATACAGAGGGTAGTAAGCAAAAACAAGGCAGAGGTTTCATTCCTAAAGAAGAATATTTAATATTGTCAGCCATTGTAAGATTTTACACAGTTTCAACAGTTAGACTTAAATATAGGAAGAAATAAAAACTGTACTTAAATAATGATTCAATTAAAATGTTCAATTCATTATGAACTGCAAAGCCTTGACTCACTGTGAATGATATTCTGGAGTGGGATCTTTGTCCACAGAAGGTTTGTACACTGCACTTGTGTTTATAAGGCTTGGTCTGCTGCCCTCTTATATCTGCGATTCACTCACACAAATACATGTTGGTTCATATGGTTTGGATCAAATGATCTTTTGTTTCTCCTTGTTCCTTTTGCTTGCACTGAACTAGGAAAAAAGCTTTTGTATTTGCTGCTCCTTCTACATGGAATGTGTTGCAAAAAGACTGTTTTATCATCTGTAATTGTATGTATTTTTTATCTAAGACTCCCTTGAAAAAGAGGTTCTTAATCTCAATGGAACTTTCCTGTTTTAAATAATAATAAAAAAGAATAAAAAAAAAACTTAAAAAAAAACGTATTTCAGTGATTCTTTGCCACTAGAGAGAGCCCCCACACTTTGAGAACCACTGATCTAGGTATATTTTTCAATGCATTGATTCATTCAACAATAGATTTTTTCAGTCCAATTCTATTGTTTATATTGATTTCCATCCATCCATCCATTTTCTACCCTTTAATCCATTTCTGGGTCAGGGGGGTGGCAATCAGAGATGCCTCCCAAGTCTCATAGCACCAGCCCCTAATATTGATTTGCTTTTTTATAAAAGAAAAAAACACGAATTTAAACTTTTCTAATCCCCAGTTTCAGCCTATGTTGCGCCACATAATGCAGACTTAACACAACATTAAACACATTTTCTGATGTCAGATTTTTCTGTTGGCATTTTGTCTGTATATGTTTTACTTATACAACATTTACAGCACATTGTAGATGGCACATATTGGATATCTTCTCCTGGTTGAAGATGTTTTGAGAGCAGAGAAAACCTTGTGCCCAGTAGAAGGCAACCTCTACCACCTTGTGGCTGAGCTATGATAGTTTACTTGCTCCAACTAAAGTAATACTTGTCATCGAAACAGTCTTTCTTTGTATTTTGCTTTCCTAATGTAAGCGTGTCCTATTGTACATTATCAACTTTCCATCTCTTTTTAAGCGCAGTCCCTGTTTGATCCCAGGTGAGGAGAACATTTTCTTACTTTGATGACCCCCCTAACCTAACTTGACATATCTCCCATTTAATTTACAGTGCCTTGCAAAGTATTCGGCCCCCTTGAACCTTTCAACATTTCGCCACGTTTCAGGCTTCAAACATAAAGATATAAAAATAAAAAAGATTGTCAAGAATCAACAACAAGTGGGACACAATCGTGAAGTGGAACAAAATTTATTGGATAATTTAAACTTTTTTTGGAAGACTTTAAACAAGACTTTATATGGATATCTTTGAGAAATGGCTTTCTTCTTGCCACTCTTCCATAAAGGCCAGATTTGTGCAGTGCACGACTGATTGTTGTCCTATGGACAGACTCTCCCACCTCAGCTGCTCGGCGACAGCCCCGACCACATGACATTCTCCCAGTCCTCTGCTGTATCGTCCATGTGCTCTCTGGCAAACTTCAGACGGGCCTGGACATGCACTGGCTTCTGCAGGGGGACAAATACTTATTTTCCACCATAATTTACAAATAAATGTGAATTCCTGGATTTTTTTTTTTCCCCACTGTACATATGCATACATTGATGTACACACACACCGGTCGAGCAGCCAAAAGATCCTCTCAAATATGCGGTTTCAGTCAAACCACATGGGAAAACATGTTTGTGCTGATGGTCCTTGGCATCAGCTCCACACATCACTTGTATCTAGAGACCTGCGAGACGCGGCTTGTCACTCGCTGCTCTGACCATGTGGACGAGCCGTCGTTAGCAGCTAAAAAGCTAACACAGAAGAGTGGGAAGATTAAAAAAGCAGTTCTCTGTGCGCAAAGGTGCCGAAGCTGTTGCGGGTTTTGGCGCCGCTGTCTCGGCTCTGATCCCGTAGAACGCTCAGCTGCACTTATGAAAAGTACGCGGCTCGAAATGGCTGTTATTTCAAAGAACGGGGAATATTTTAAACTACGCGGTTAACCGGTTTCAGCCGGTTAACCATGGCTATTTAATTTGTATACCACACAAAAATACTGCATTGTATCTGTGGAAGTCAGCAAAGTGAAGACTACCGACTATCAGCTGTGTTTGTAGCCGCAGATGCTTCACAGGCTAACGCATTTCTTCTGTTCCTTTTTAGGCATTTTCCAAAAAAATCGACACCCGTTAGAGAAATATTTTTTAAAGAAAGCAAATTACAAACTCCTTACAAGCTTGATACAAGCAGTTGCTACAACTGTACACCCACAGAAAAAGATATTTTTCACTCTCAATCAGTGAATATTTACATTGTTCTTGATGGGTAGATTTACAGTGCCTCGTGAAAGTATTCGGCCCCCTTGAACCTTTCTACATTTTGCCACATTTCAGGCTTCAAACATAAAGATATAAAAATGATTTTTTTTGGGGTGGGACACAATCGTGAAGTGGAACGAAATGTATTGGATAATTTAAACTTTTTTAACAAATAAACAGAAAAGTGGGGCGTGCAATATTATTCGGCCCCCTTGCGCTAATACTTTGTAGTGCCACCTTTTGCTGCAGTTACAGCTGCAAGTCGCTTGGGGTATGTCTCTATCAGTTTTGCACATAGAGAGACTGGAATTCTTGCTCATTCTTCCTTGCAAAACAGCTCGAGCTCAGTGAGGTTGGATGGAGAGCGTTTGTCTCTGCAGCAGTCTTCAGCTCTTTCCACAGATTCTCGATTGGATTCAGGTCTGGACTTTGACTTGGCCATTCTAACACCTGGATACGTCTATTTGTGAACCATTCCATTGTAGATTTGGCTTTATGTTTTGGATCATTGTCCTGTTGGAAGAAAAATCTCCGTCCCAGTCTCAGGTCTTTTGCAGACTCCAACAGGTTTTCTTCCAGAATGGTCCTGTATTTGGCTCCATCCATCTTCCCATCAATTTTAGCCATCTTCAGCCTGTCCCTGCTGAAGAAAAGCAGGCCCAAACCATGATGCTGCCACCACCATGTTTGACAGTGGGGATGGTGTGTTCAGGGTGATGAGCTGTGTTGCTTTTACGCCAAACATATCGTTTTGTATTGTGGCCAAAAAGTTCAATTTTGGTTTCATCTGACCAGAGCACCTTCTTCCACATGTTTGGTGTGTCTCCCAGGTGGCTTGTGGCAAACTTTAAACGAGACTTTTTATGGATATCTTTGAGAAATGGCTTTCTTCTTGCCACTCTTCCATAAAGGCCAGATTTGTGCAGTGCACGACTGATTGTTGTCCTATGGACAGACTCTCCCACCTCAGCTGTAGTTATCTGCAGTTCATCCAGAGTGATCATGGGCCTCTTGGCTGCATCTCTGATCAGTCTTCTCCTTGTTTGAGATGAAAGCTTGGAGGGACGGCCGGGTCTTGGTAGATTTGCAGTGGTCTGATACTCCTTCCATTTCAATATAATTGCTTGCACAGTGTTCCTTGAGATGTTTAAAGCTTGGGAAACCTTTTTGTATCCAAATCCGGCTTTAAACTTCTCCACAACAGTATCTCGGACCTGCCTGGTGTGTTCCTTTGTCTTCATGGTTCTCTCTCCGCTTTAAACAGAACCCTGAGACTATCAAAGAGCAGGTGCATTTATACGGAGACTTGATTACACACAGGTGCATTCTATTTATCATCATCAGTCATTTAGGACAACATTGGATCATTCAAAGATCCTCACTGATCTTCTGGAGTGAGTTTGCTGCACTGAAAGTAAAGGGGCCGAATAATATTGCGCGCCCCACTTTTCAGTTTTGTATTTGTTAAAAAAGTTTAAATGATCCAATAAATTTCGCTCCACTTCACGATTGTGTCCCACTTGTTGTTGATTCATGACAAAAAATTAAAATGTTATATCTTTATGTTTGAAGCCTGAAATGTGGCGAAATGTTGAAAGGTTCAAGGGGGCCGAATACTTTCGCAAGGCACTGTAATTTCTAGAGGTGCAACGGTTCATCACTGATCCGTTCGGTTCAACGTCTTCGGTTCGGTACAGACGTGATCCGCGGTTTGATTTATGAAAAAAAAGTTGTGCGCACGTTGTTCAGTCCACACACAGCGCGGTCATTGCGAGCGGAGGAACGGAGATGCTTGAAAGCCCTGCGTCATTTAAAGTGGTTCTCACCCCCGCTCCTCGGAGCTTACGTTACTCACATTTCCTGTTCAAATCTTCCTCTAAATGGGCGTAGCCTGGAGGACTAAAGGGGGTGTGAACGAGACTGGGCCGTTTACATTGCTCTGGGCGGGGGGCTGCTGACGTCAGGTCCAACTTGCAGACGTCAGGTCCAACTTCTGTGCCAGTGTTGGCGCCAGATTCAAAATTCAAATGTAGTAATACAGGTCGCCAGCAGATGGCGCCTCACAGACGGTTTTAGGCAGAAAGTCTAACTTTCAACTAATTTGCACCAAAGTGACAAGATTATGACCAGGATATGTAGACAACACTATTGGACACTCATTTATACCGTTTATCAGCAAAAAAAAGTGGATTTGAGGGTGAGTTGTCCTTTAAATCCCCAGTATGAGAGCATTTTGGCTTCACTGTAACTACACTGATAATTAATATTCGACAAAACTGTCACGATGTGTAAGCACTGTGGCACAAGAAAGACATGAGTGAATTGTGATTGTCGCGGCATTTAAGCAGCTCCTTTACGCACAGTCAGACCGGGCTAAAGTCAACTCTCCCGCGCATCCTCAGCTGCGCTCACGACTGACGCTTGGACGTCCCGCGGAACCGCTCACTTCATCACCGCAGACTGGGAGATGAAAAGTCTGGCGCTGCAGACATGCCCCCTCTACGACAGTCACACAGCGCAGGTTCTGACACAAGCGGAGGAATGGAAGACAAAGGCCCAGTACTAATATCCCAGTCACAACTGATAATGCCAAAAATTAAATTAATGCAGTGAATGAGGCTGGGCCCAGAATGGAGCGCCTCCTCGAATCAGGAAGGTGGTGTAATATATGAGGGTAAATATCCTCATAAAATGCCTTCTTATGTTGCACTTTGTGTTGTTTTTCATTAATTATGTTAAATAGACATAATTGGATGGAATATGCCTTCCATCCATCCATCCATTTCCTTCCCCTTAATTCATTTCTAGGTCAGGGGGGGGGGCAGTCAGAGCAGGTGCCGAGTCCACATGAGCTGTGTTTATTAAAAAGACAAAACTTTTTTTTTGAAAAATGAACCGAACCGTGGCCTCTGAACCGAGGTACGAACCGAACTGTGATTTTTTTCAAACCGTTGCACCCCTAGTAATTTCTGTCCCTCGCGCCGCTGCGTGACGTCAGCTGCAACCCAGCAATACACACAGGCAAATCACCCCTCCCCTCCCCCGACACTACTACGACTAGATTAATACACATTGGTTGTGGTTATCGGTCCAATTTTACTCATCCAATAAGTTAAAAGATGAAAATCGGCTGATATCAATATTGTGCATCCCTAGATGCAAGTTATTTATTAGTTACAAAGGGAAGCGTGCTGGCTCTCAAAACAATTATGATCTTTATGTAGATGGGTCAACTCCATTCACAAGACAGAAAATGTTATTCTATTAAGCACTTCTGAATTTTTTTGTGGTCGTTGTATATTATAACTAGTTGACCAAGGATCAGGGCCCAATTGATATGTAAATTGTATCAAGTTTAATGTGTGTGAAAATAATGTGCTATTCTTCCTTTTCTAGGGCCCCACATTTCACCAGAGATCACAAAGACATTTCTGCGTTGTCCATTTTGTGCATAATGAGTTCACAGCAAAAGTAGGATTTTAGAGTTGCATCAATAACATTTATTTTCTTTTTCTTTTTTTGGTGTAATCTAACTATTTTCATCCTTTGTCCAGGTCTTATGACACTGCTGTACCAGGACCTTGCGGCCTTTGGCCTGTGGATCTAAAACTTACTCACCTGGACTGGAATCCAGAAGCCACTTTGATCCACTTCCAAGGCCATTATCTGACCATTTGTGAATTGGATTACAACATCCTTCAGGGAGAGATCCAAAATGCCCCCAAATCACAAGCTGTTATTGACATAGGAGAGTTTTGCCTTGTGGAAGATTTGACCTCAGCCCGTTGGTACAGAGGGCGAGTGCAGAACCAAAAGAAGGATATGTGTGATGTGTTTCTAATTGATCACGGAAACGTACTGAGTGTGGCTGAGGCACACATTTCCTCCTGTTCCAATGACCTCTTCATCTTACCCCCAAAAATAGTCTGTGGTTTCCTCTCAAGTGTTCTGCTTCTTCCAGGATGCTGCCACAAAGTAGTGGAACAATATTTGGCTAATCTAATTGGAAAAAATGTCTCCGGTCACATTCAAGCTCTTCTCCCTCACAAAGTTGTTCTGCTGGAAGCCCCAGAAATCAACAGCGACCTTGTCCATCATGGTTTCGCGAGACATGTTGACACAGATACATTTTTACTATTGGTTGAGATGTTGACGGAAGTTCCTTTGAAACAAAAGGTTGAACCAGCTCCTGACTTACTCATTGAAAAACAAAGAGTACAAGAGTTCTACTTAAAACCAAAAAGTCTAAAAGGATTTGAGGACCTTCTGTCTTCTTGCAGACCTAGATTAAAAAATGGGACACATATGACAGTGCGTGTCACAGCTGCTGTCAATCCTGGACTGTTATACTGCCAAATGACTGAGAAAGAATCCGAACTCAAAGAGATGTCACGTAAGCTTGCTGCAGTTTGTGAGTTAAAGACTAAAATCAATCAACTTAAAACTCCTGACAATCTGGGCTTGCTTTGTTCTGTCAAAAGTAAAGATCAAAAATGGTACAGAGGTTTGGTACAGCATCTGCCTATCAACTCTTTTGTCCGTGTGCTGTTTGTCGACTATGGCTACTTTGAATCAGTAAAAATTGAAAATATTCATAGGTTGCCACCAGATTTCTGTTCTACTCCCATCATGGGTTTTCCTTGTGCCCTGACTTGCATGGACAATGAAGAAGAAGCAGCCTTCAAAAGCAAGCAGTTGAGTCTCCTAAAGATGAGTTTACTTGGTGGAATTCTGGAAGTGGAGATCAACACATACAAACCAGAGCAGCATCTTTACAACATAACTATTATGAAAGTCAAGGAAAGGGTGAGTCTAGCTCCGGTTCAAAAACCCACTGGCACCAAAACATCTCGCACTGAGTCCGAAAAGGAGCCAAGCGTACCTATGAGTGGACACATGTATTACGAGACAGTAATGAGCAAAGAACTCGACAAAACACTTATAGATGAAGAAATCCGTGTCGATTTGTCCTTTACTGGTTATGTGGAATATGTCCTGAATCCAAACAAGTTTTGGGTTCGATCCAAAAAGCGGAATGAGGAGTTTGAAACAATGATGAAAAAATTGTCCGAACATTTCAACAAAGTGGCACTCGATGAAGACGTCTTGGAGAACCCGGAGCCAGGGATGCTTTGCTGTGCAGTCTTCGAGGAGGATATGCATTTCTACAGAGGTGTGGTGGTGGACATTCTGCAGCATGGAGCAGAGGTACTCTTCATCGACTTTGGGAATTTGGCTAAAGTACCACACAATTTAATCAAGAAAATACCAAAGGAGTTCTCAGGCACATCTGCATTCGCTCTGTGCTGTAGCCTCGACAGTGTTGTTCCCACAGACGAGTTTTGGACCAGCAGTAGCACCAATGCTTTCAGGAACCTCTCATCAAATAAAATCCTACAAGTTCAAGTGATCCAGATGAGGAAAAACAAACTGGACGTTGAACTTTACTATGAAAAGAGTGGCAATGACGGTGGGCAAAGACTGTCGGAGCTTCTGATCTCAAAGAACCATGCGCACTACGTGAAAAATGTTTCAGAGCATTATATTGAGCAGAATAATCACAAATCTTTCAAGAAGGCTTCAAAACATAATCAACCATTGCTAAATTCAAAAACCTTACAAAACTGGATTCGAGACACTGAAAAATCAACGGATGAACAAGATCAGCCTAAAGAACCAGTTCGGCTCAATGCTCTCAACATCAAACCTGGCTGTGAGTTTGTCGTTAGCTGCCCTTTCATTAATTCGCCCTCAAACTTCTGGTGCCAGCGCCTTGATCAAGTGCCTGCTCTAGAAGCACTGATGTCAAGACTTCAGGAATACTATGCAACCAGAACTGTCCCTCTTGAACCACAAATGTTGTGTTGCGCCGTTAAGTCACCCCATAATGAGAAATGGTGCCGCGGAATCATCACAAAAAGGCAAAACGGTAAAGCAACAGTCGTTCTTGCTGACTTTGGTCCATGCTTTGAAGTCAGCGAAGAGCATTTACAAGGATTACGCTTGGAATTCTGTGCTTTTGAAGGACAAGCCTTTAGATGCAGCCTCTTTAATGTCATTGAACCACTAGGACTGTGTTGGTCAAAAGAGGCAACTGAGTTTCTACGGAAATTTGTTGATGAGAGTGGCGGCGCTCTGAAGTGCAGTGTAATTTCCCAGTTAAATGCACATAACAAAGGGTTGTGCCACGTTGTGCATATTTGCAACACAGAATCCAATCAAAATGTGTCCAACCTGCTTGTGAAAAACTCTCTAGCACAAGTTGTTACTAGGACTGCATTTGAGACTATTGTTCCTCATTCTTTTGTCTACTCGTCTCACAATCTCACAGAGGGGACTGAAGTACAGGTCTATGTCACCCACGTCAACAATCATTTAGAGATCTTTTGCCAACTTGAAAGCAGCGAAGCAGTCCTGGAAGAGTTAGACGCAAAGATTTCAGATGTCCTAAAAGGGGAGCAAGCCAATGCGGAAACTGTTGTCCCAAAACTTTGCATTGCGAAATATTTTGATGGTATGTGGTACAGAGGGGTCACTTACTCAGCTCAGTCACCTTCCCATGTGAGTGTGTTCTTTGTTGACTATGGAAATACTATGATTGCAGAGAACAAATATGTTGTTAGCATTCCAAAAGATTCGGTGGAACTGTTAAACAGACCAATGCAGGCCATTCAATTTAGTCTTGCCAGGGTGCCCCAGGACCGCATGCACGCTGATGTTCAAGACTGGCTTGATGGAGCAGTTCTCAACAAATGTATGAGGGTTGTCATTGAGGCAAAAGCTGAAAATGGATCCTTTGAAGTTGAGATGTTTGATGGGGATGAAAATATAAATGACAGGCTGAAGGAGCTCATTTACAGCCTCACTCCAAAACCAAAAATTGCTGGGATTTTTAGCTGCAGTAAAAAGAGACATCTTAATCGTCCTGGTAACAGTCAACACAAAACAAACAAAAATTACAATAAAAACTCCCAAAAGATAAATTGGAATCACAAGAAATCAACCACAATCCGTCAGAACAAACAAACTGGACGAGTGGAGTATCAACAGACAAAGAAATCTATTTCAGTTACAAACTCAGCAGAGGCAAAGGAATGGCCCAGTCCTCAAGAGCCTCAAACAAACTCTTTCAAGGAGGTCGTCAAGGAGTCTGAGAACATGTGTCAAACTGAAAACCCTGTGGTGTTCCATATCTCCTCTTTGAGAACCATTGAAATCTCCGAAGGCTCAAAGTTAAAATGTTTTATAACCTATATCGAGTCAGAGAGTTGTTTCTTTCTGCAGCGTTCGGATGATGAGGAAAATGTCATTCAGTTAGAAAACAGCATGAACTCTGAGGTCTTCAAGGAATCTCTACTGCCGTGCACAGACATTGCCCTGAAGGTTGGCGATCTTGTTTTGGCCACGTACGAGGAGGATGAAGCTCTGTATCGGGCTGTTGTGAAGGAGATTGTAGACCCCTGTGCTTTCTTAGTTGTATTTGTGGATTTTGGGAACTCTGCCACTGTGAGCAAAGAAAAGCTGTTTATGATGAAGAAGGACAACATCACTCAACCACGCTACAGTGTGCAATGTTGCCTACATGACCACTCAGCTTTCGACAGCAGCACTGCCTTTGCAAATGCAGTTATGGACAGGTCTCTCATGTTTGAGTTTGTTTGTTACAAGAATTCCCAGTGGGAGGTCAATGTAGAAACGTTTGATGCAGTGACCTCAGTTCCAGATGATGCCGTTGATAAGATGGAAACCAATACAGTTGAACCAGCAGCTTCAAAGGAAATCAGGGTGAGAGCTAAGAAAGAGACAACCATTGAAGTGCCTGAAGACTTGTTCAAAGCCTTCTTGCCTCCAAAAATCCAAAGGGGAGACACTGAAACTGGACAAGTCTTGTCCTCTCAAAGAAATGGAGAGTTCTATTTCAGACCTGACAAATCCAGGGATGCACTTGCAGCACTGGAGACACTCATAGCAGTACACTTAGGTAAATGTGAACCTATCGCGATAATTAATGTAAAAGAAGGTTTAAACTGCTTAGCTCAAGAACAGAAGGGCGGGCCCTGGCGTCGAGCATTTGTGAAGGAGTCTTCTAATGATGAGTGTCTAGTTCACCTGTTGGATCATGGAAAATTTGAGTCATTATCAAAACATTCCTTGCGGCAGACGTTGCCTCACTTGGCATTGATTCCACCATTTGCTGTGTGCTGCAAAATGAAATTCCAAGGAGGCAGTGAGCGTCAGAGACATTTGTGTTATCAAGCTCTTAAGAACATTGAAGGAAATCAAGTCAAGGTTACGTTTGTGGATATCTCAGAAGACCTGTGGTCTGTAGGTATCGTCATGGACAGATCTCTTGGTCAAAACTTTCCAAACGAAGAGAAACAGACTGAACTGGTGTTTACACAAGAACATGCACCTGGCTTGGATCTGCCTCAAAATCTGGCTTTTGCTCCTGTGGAACTAAATAAGGAGTATTCAGGCTTTGCGGCGGCAATCACTTCGCCGTGCGAGTTTTGTCTGGTCTTGGATGACTTCGACCTCATAAGTCAAGTCTCAATCTTGCTGGACGACCTCCCGAATGACCTGCAGCCTCTGCCCCAGTCCCACCTTGTCCCCAGAACGGGCTGCTTGGTCAATTCCCAGTCGAGAAACAAGTGGTGTAGGGCAGAGATCCTCCACGCAGACAGCACTCTGACCCTAAACCTCGTAGACTATGGACATGCTGAATGCTTGCATTTTGGGGAGAAGTCTAAACTGAGAAAACTCCCAGAGAGCATCACAGCCCTTCCTAAAGTGACGTACCCCTGCGTCCTGAACGCCGTGAGACCAACTGGAGAGGGTCAAGAGTGGAGCGATGAGGCGACCATTTTCTTCCAGCAGTGTTTGGACCAGCGGAACCTCCAGATCTTCTTCAGGGAGGTGATGTCTGACCAGCAGTGGAAGGTGGACGTCCTCACTGATGGAGGCCATGTTGCCATGCAGCTGGTGGACGCAGGGCACGCAAGCTACACGGACCCCATGTTGGGACTACGGTACGTGTACTTTATTATTACTCTAATGCTGCTCTGTCATTATGGAATTAGGAGGGTCTGTTGGACTGTGGTGATGATCCAGGACACTATGTATGAACATTTATCAACATTCATGGACATTGGTCTCCTACAGACCAATACATATGTGTTCTATATATATTTTTTTGTCTTAACTGTTGATTCTCTGATCTGTGTTGGTGTTTTCAATGGTTTTTTAAATGCTGTTGTGATTTAGGGCTATACAAGAATAAATTATATTGTAATTCCCTGGTGATAACCTCACATATGACCAGCAGTAGAGTAATATGTACACTTAAAAAAGACAAAAAAAGACATAATGTGTTTTTGGCAGTTTACAGGTAAAGTTGTGACCTGAAGCTTTTATTGAAGTTTTTGCCTTTTGTCAAATGCTTAGTCTACATCATGATTTGCGTCCCTTTACTAACAGAATGTGGGCCGCGAGCCTCTAAGACCGAGCAGCTCCTCTAAGACCAAGGCTGTTGAAGTGCCTTAAGAGGCTGAATATCACTATTGAAGGAGCTCCACATAAAGCCTCACTGTTCCTCACGCTTCCTCACTCAATAAAACTACTTTGAGTAAAGACACCAAAAATGTAAAGCAAATAAACAAGAGTATATCGTTTGTGTTATGTTTCCAGATTCCAGGAGAAGGGCCTTCCAGGCCAGTGGAACCTCAGTGATGATGAAGAGGATGATGAAGACCCAGACGATGTCCATCAGATGTTTGAAGAAACTGAAGAAATCTTCAAAGTTAAATCAGACTCAAATCTTTGTAAGTTTTCATATTCTACTTCAAATGCACCTGATTGTTAGAATTTAGAAATCCTCTTGAATGAACAATAAAATGTTTTTCCCAGTTTGGTGACAACTTACACATTTTTCAAAATTTCGCTCATAGTCCCAAAACTCTACACACAAGATAACCCGACACAACACTGCAATATAAACCATTCACATCTGTCTCAAAATGAAACTCCATTATCAAAACTCAAACTCTGTTCTCAAAAATAAACAATCATTTGTCAAAATGAAACTCTAAGGACAAAATTACACACTTGCATCATTTGAACACACTTTCAGATTAGAAGCAACACACTACAATACTTAATATAAAACACTGCAGTCATTTTCACTCTTTTTATTGTGTTTATTATCAGATAGTTTTCTGTGAAGCTCAATGGAACTGTTTTGGTTCTCAGTAGAACTAAAAGGTTATAAATAATATCAACTCAATACTGTACATCACAGTACTACAGTATACTTTACATAAATACAAAAACTCTAATGTAAAACTAGGCAGTTGTACGTGAGTGGAATTATGGATCATGTTCCTGCTGTTGGTGAACACCTGTGGAGCACCTTGAGAAGGTTCTAGTCATTCTGTAGAAATATGCAACCACAAATTGTTACTATAGGTTTAGTTCTATTTTTTTTTTCACAATACTGTACACAGTACTGTGACATCTCAATAGTACAGTACTATGTACTTTACTGTATTGCAATTGCAATACAGTACATGTGATACAGTACAGTACTGTAGATACGGTCTGCAGTACATATTGGAGACATGTTTCCATCTGAAGGTCCTGATGCTGCAGCTGTGTCTGGACTCTTGCTTCTCTCAGTGTGAGGCCAGGATTGATCACAAAAGTTGCTCTAATGTCAGAAATATCTTCAACCACAACTTTCTTCTTGTCTTCCTCTTCCTCTCTCTTGCTCTTTCTGCCTTCAAACTTTAAAAGTTCTGAAAATGGCTAAACTGAGGCCTGTTTGTGTCCGGCTGATGTGTGTCGCTTTTTGTAAGTCAGTGTTTTCAAGTGTGTGTCTCAGTGTTTTCTATCACACAATGTGTTTTGAATAATGTGTGTGAAAACACACGATTGCATTTATGAACAAAGTGTCTTATGTATGACAGTGTGTAGTGAGCAAGAGAAAGTGTGTTGCAGAAAGAGATAGTGTGTTGTTCTGTAACTTTGGTCTAAGCGTGTGTCTATAGTGTTCAAGCAACAGGAAAAAACTAACAGTATGTTAATGCTAATGCTAATGTACTTAATGTTTACATTAGTGCTGCAAAACCCCTCAAACTGACAGAAGTTCAGGTTATTTTAGTTGTAGGTCTCTCCCCAGTTTGAACTAATAACTTTAATTAAATACAGTTTACTAAAATAAATATAGTTGAGTGTTTCACCTCAGTAAGAGATTCGAAATCCAACACTTCATTCCTGCGTGTGTCTTTTTTTGCAGGTACAACGATGTGACCGTGAAGGCAGGACTTCTACAATCATCTCAGTGTCGGGACATTTGTACAGACTGTATTTTAGAAAAGAATTCAGAGATTGTTTAGTCGTTAAAACGTCTGAAATACTAACTGAAGAGTTTAAATGTTTCTCTCAGAGCATGTGCTGTATTTAACCTTTTCTTTACTGTGTTCTGTTCTCTAGTTTTATAAATCACTGTTTGGAATCTGTTAGAGAAAAAAGTATATAATTTCAAATGAACCAGTGTCTTAATTACGTTGTAATTGTTTTGATATGTGTGAGGGTTATTTTTGTAATTCTGAAGTTCTGTAGTAAAATGTCCAGTTCGTCTCATCTCCACATGGGGGCACTGTTCACCACACGTTCATCAGTGAGTTATACCTGGATAAGTTAGGGGGGGGAGAGAACAATAAAAATCCAGACGTTTTGTTGAAAAATCTGTTTATTAATGATTTACAAAAGGCTAAACATGGAACTCATTTAAATGATTCCGTTCATTTGAAACCTAGGAAGGAACAGTTGGATGGTTGGTCTGTAAAGTGTGTGGCCATACAAAAATCAGCTGGATTTTTTTTATTGTGTGTTTATGGGAGACACGAGTCGAGGTGAGAGCAGAGCAGCAGTGGTCAATGTAAAATATCCTTCACCTCTTTTACAAGTCTCCCTCTAGCTGGTGTTTAAACTCACTATCACAGATTACCACAGTACAAGAGGTCCCAAAGAATGGATTGGAGAACGACAATCGATAGGTTTGTGAACACTTAAATTAAAATTGTGCAAGTTTGCTTTTTTTTTCCTCCATATTTGTAATAAATAAAGCAAACGATAGTGTTTTTCCCACCAAGAATCACAATGTAAGTTACGGGGAACTCAGAGGTGAAACTCACACAAGATCGCAAATAATAAATCTTTCTCTGGCTTAAAAAAGTTGAAATAAGACAGTCCAGTTTTGTCTGTTTTTATACATTTTTAAACGCATGTATCAAGAGTCTACCATAGTTAAAAGTGTGTGTGGACCTTGATATTTACATGTGAGGATTTTTTTTACTTAAAATCCATGCTACGGAATGAGATCGTGTATTCGCTCAATAAAAAAAGGACAAAAAGTAATAATTGGTCTGGAGCTCTGGTGGAAATTAAAAAGATTGTAATGCGAATAATACCAGAAGAATTTACAAAATAAAATATTCTAAAATTGTTTCTGGAAGTTAAAAAAGAAAAAAATTAAAACAAAGAATAAACCTCTTTTACGCTATCACTCGGCCAAGAGCAGAACAAAAATAAATCCCCCATGCTTTGCAGCTTTATCCGACAGATCACAACACCGGCGAGTCCTCCTTAAATCATTAGTCTCTCTCTATTGCCACAACAGCTACGTCAAAATGTCCAGTTATTCATTGATAAAAATAAAAAAAAAGCCAAAAATTAAACCAACACACAAAAAGACGCCCAGTGGAGAAGTGGGGAAATGCAAGTGGATTGTCCTGGGACCACCTTAAAAACCAAAATGTAGTGGCTGGTTTTTAAGGTGGAATATAAGGGAGGCAAAAGGGGGAGGGGAGTGGGGCGTGTCCGAGTGCAGTTTTGGGGGCGGGGCTACTGCTTAGTGTTGAGCTCGTTTTCCAGCTCCATGAGTTTGCGGGACGCCTTGACCTTGTTGGACACCTCCTTCCCCTGAGAGAAGAGTCGCTGGCGTTCCTTAAAGGTCATGCTCTCCGGGGCTCCGCCAGGGATGGAGTTCTCCTGCTCCTGACTGGAAAATATTCAAACCAAACAGAGACAGGACTGAGTTTTATGGTTTTAATCTCAAGTTTAAAAAGGTGCTTTCCTCAACTGTCCTCGTGGCCTGATTTTTGCTCGGGTTTATATCAATGTTTTGCCAGAATATGTCTAAAATGTACTTTAAACGTCTTAAATTGTAAACAAACTCAACTTAAGGCGATGCTTGGTCTACTGCCCTCTTACATATGTCATTTCAATCGCACAGATGTTCTTACGGTTTGTGTTCAAATGATCTAATGACAAAATACTGGAAATTAACACAACATATTTCATTGAATGCTTTAAAGTCAAGATTCAGAGCTCTTGAAACGTCCTCATTGAACTGTTTTTATAATCTGCAGTTTAATGAAATTGTGTGTAACTTTAGCTACCTCTTGTCCAGGACTCCCTTGAAAACGAGCTTCTTAATCTCAATGGGACTTTCCCGGTAAATTAAAGGTTAAATATAATATATAAAAACTTAGTTACAAGCCTTATTAAATAGAGAGGCAAATCTTCTCACGGTAAGAATTCAGTTTTTTCAGCACTAAAATAGTCTAATTGATGAATATATGGTATTTTCTAGACAATGAAGTGAACTATATAAACCACACCAGATACATCTAAAACCTGCATTTGTTTTGACGGGGGGTGACCTACTCGCTGTAGCAGGGGCAGATGCAAACAGACTAGTCTCCAACATGGCTGCTATGGCAAGCTTTAAACCGTTTTTGGTTAGCAGAGCGAGGAACGCACCTATGTAAGCAAATAAAACCCAAAAACCTTACCTCTTTGTCCATTTGTCCTTATAGATCTCTCCGGATCCTACAAGTCCCGCAGAGTTTCCAGTGTATGAGTTAGATCCTTCACAAAAGCAGCAAAAACAAGTCAGTACAAAACTCTCCATTTTAGAGGAAGAAATCAAAGCTGCTGGGTCCATCCTCCACTCATCGCTTAAAGCTGGTGTACCCAACATTGAGACAATAAAGTCAGGTGCTCCAGCTTTAAGACAAACTTAAATCAGTGGCTTGGACTTGGACCCGGCAGTTCCAGTTCCTCCCACAGATCAGCCTGAGCGGGTGAAAAGGGAAGAGAAGCGTTAGTGTTTTCTTTCCAGAGCTGGAAAGGAGGCGATCAAAGCAGGAAATGGTCTGTGGAAGTGTGAGGGTCCGGGCCGAGGGTGAGCTCCACCTTTGACCCCACAAGTTGAGTTAGTATTCTGGTCACGGTCTTCTCCAAACTAAAACCCGTATTTCATTTTACAGCAAGTTCAGAATGTCACTTTATCTACTTATCCTGCCCTTATATGTACATAACTTTGCACTTTATATAGAGATATAGATATTGTATACGTTATGTGCTTCCTGTGTGCTCTTACTACTACTATGTGCGCTGCAACACTGAAATTTACCCACTGTGGTAAAGATAACGTTCTCTCATCTGGTCTAATCTATTATTGATCAATTTATTATCATCCTTAAACACCTACATGAATGTTGGTCCTTAGGGTATTGATTACTAAGGCATATCCAAAGAAATTCCACCAAAATATTTCCCAATAATAGCAGTATACTGAGGCCTCTGTGTGGTTAGGATTCAACATGTCTTTGATCCATGTTTCGTGAGTTGAAAGAGTGTCATTTCAAAGGCGTCCCGTAGAGCGCGTGGGGGGCCTGGGGTTGGCACAGTTTGGTGAAGACAGAGACCGATGCCACAGCAGGCAGCTCCCCTCTCCTGATCCCCAAGTCTGAGCCACACAAACAGAACAAAGAGACCTCAAAAGCCACTGAGAATCCTCTCTGCAGCCAGAAAACACACCGGCTGAATCAGAGAATCAAACTGGAGGCGTTTTGGTCTGGTGAAGAATAATGATCGAGTTTATACTGTGTCATAAATCAGCAGTACTAATATGCTTTTGTTGCCTTGTCTTTTAGTAGACGTAGAAGTAACGATAATGGATCAAACCAATACTTGATGGCATGTATTTCTACAGCCTCAGTCCTGGTTATACAGCCTCAGTCCTGGGTCTACAGCCTGTCCTGGGTCTACAGCCTCAGTCCTGGGTCTACAGCCTCAGTCCTGGTCTACAGCCTCAGTCCTGGGTCTAAAGCCTCAGTCCTGGGTCTACAGCCTCAGTCCTGGGTCTACAGCCTCAGTCCTGGGTCTACAGCCTCAGTCCTGGGTCTACAGCCTCAGTCCTGGATCTACAGCCTCAGTCCTGGGTCTACAGCCTCAGTCCTGGATCTACAGCCTCAGTCCTGGATCTACAGCCTCAGTCCTGGATCTACAGCCTCAGTCCTGGGTCTACAGCCTCAGTCCTGGATCTACAGCCTCAGTCCTGGATCTACAGCCTCAGTCCTGGGTCTACAGCCTCAGTCCTGGATCTACAGCTTGTCCGTCTGTGGGAGCGGATCCCTCTCAATATGGGCCTCTCTGAAGTCTCTCACTTTTCTCCTGTGGTTCCTTGCCGCTGGAGGAGAGTCTCAGGACAGAGATGATGATCCAGGACATTTATGGACATTTATTAACATTGGTATCCTGCTCCCTATGGACCAATGGCACAAATCAAACAGTTTGATTCTCTGATCTGCTGCTGGTGAATTGACAACTTTGTAGAGTCCTCCTAGACGACTGCTGTTGGGATTTAGGGCAATACAAAAATAAATTGAATTGTTACTGGTGAATATTGAACACATTACAGAAAGAAAGCACTGATTTACTAATTTAGCCAAATTTACAATACTAATATTTTGACATTGTCCTGGCCCGTAATGAGGATTTATTTTTGTCAATAAGAAATTAAAGGTACAGCTTGTGTGGACAGAAGGAGGAAGAGGAATTGCCTGCCGTCGACACATTCATAAAGAGCTTCATTTCCAAAAACAGCCGCACAGTCAGGCACCACTCAAGACGCCTGACCGTGCCGCAAAGCCTTCTGGGAGCTGTAGTTTAGTGAGATAAGCAGCATTAGACAGCGGACACAGCTAGAGCAGACACAGACGTGAAAGAAGAGAAAACGGAAGCAAATTATCTGAGGGACAAAAGGGCAGAAAAGTGGATTACGGGAGCAGCCTGTTTGGGTTAAAGCCGGGGCAAGCGCTGCAGCCACAGTGCAGGTTGTAGTGTGTTGGGTTTGTGACATGCGTCGGGTTGTGGGACGGGGGGAAGGTGGGTGGGGTTAGTGTGCTCCTGGTGACAATGCAGGACAGTCCGGTCATGAACGAGGAGGAGTGTGACGTCTGAGAAGTACTTCAGGTCATGGGGCACTGGTCTGTGGATGTACGATCTACAAATACTAGGGTTAAGATTGTGTACGTCTGTAAGACATATCGATTAAATTCTGTCCTTTCAAATATATATGTGTAACTGTAAAAAAAATAAAACTAATAATAATTGGGCTCTAGCACAAGGCTCTAGCACTAGGACCCATAGAATTCCATCACTACCTATTCAAAGTACTAAATTTGACTGCAATAAACACCAATGGAATTTTGAGAAATTCCCCCAACATTTTTAGTTTACCACTGCTTATTCTAAAAAATAAGGATTTTTTTATTGATTATTTATTCACTTTAACCAAGTGCTAAAACTGGTCAGTATAAAAGTATAAAAATAAATCAAACCGTCAAATTGACTGCTTCATTGAGTTCATCGTCTTTCTATATACAGTCTAGAAATTCTGTTAATAAAAGTAAGCAATAAACTGACAACCCTCGTGTTCCATTTCTCACGCCTCAATTACCCCAATCTGGCTCATTACCGCAGGAAAGGAACTAAAGCAGAGAAAACCGTCTCTGGTGTAAATTGTCTCCTGCCTGAGTTATGCTTGGTGTAAATTGGGGATAATCCTGTGTAATGTTCTTTGATTCTACTTTTTTCTCCCTATGGCAGAATAACAAATTTCTGAGTTGATTCATTTACGGAGCCACAAACTCTCAGAGCTGCTGCTGCCGCAGGTCACGTTGAGACGTTGAGGTCGAGACGTCGAGTCAGTGAGTACATGAGTCGTCCTGTGTCGTGAGCGATGTAGGCGAATGGTCCCGTTTCTCTTTAAAGCCAACGCTGCTAAGCAAAGCTGCGGGGGAGGGGCATGAAGGCCAGGGGGGCGGGCACTGAACCAGCTGGCCACACCCACAACCCAAAGCAGCAACCAACCAGACACACAGGAGGCGGCGAGCGACAACACCAACAGTACTACGATTGGCTCAGGAGGCTCTGGATCTCCAGGAGACGGGATTATTGATGATTATTGGTGATTATTGGTGACGATTTGACTGTTTTTGATTGGGACAGGTGGGATTGTTCTAGTGTGACGTGATTGAAGGAAAATATAAATAAATACATGATTTAAAGGAACACGGAGACAAACATATATATATGTTGATTTTCCTGAAAAGGGAGAAAAATAATCATTTGAAACCAATATAAATTTGAATTCACAATGGAAAATATGGACAAACAAATATAAAGGTGGGAAAAAGGAAATAAAAGGTGTCTACATGAAGAGTGACTAGAATGAGGGAGGCCGGAGCAGCAGGGGGCGCTGTGGCTGACTCCGCGGGTCTACCTTTGAGGCCTCCTGATTGGATGAAGCTGGGTTTGGCAGGAAGGGGGGGGCCTGTACTGTTGGAGTTGTTGAGTGGCGGCTGGAACGAGCCAGACAGGAAGATGCCATCAGAAACAGGGCGTGGCTTGCGCGCAGTGGGCGGCGGCTGAGGCTTGCTGTGATTGGCTGAGACGGAGGCCGGGAGGTCGCCATAGGACTTCCGGGTCGCCGACAGCTTGGCCTGACCTGATTGGCCGCCGCCGCTTCCTGCGTTGGGGACTTCCTCTTCGTCTTCATCGTCGGCGTTGGACACGTACTTGGCGGTGTAGAGCGTGTCGGGGGACGCCACCTGCGTTTTGAGGTAGGAGGTGTTTCTCTGTGGGGGGGGTGGGGGCGTGTTAGTAGACGGGTTGTGCGGGGCGGGGGGTTGGTAGTCCCGGGGCAGCGGGGGCCGATACAGACCGGCCGGCTCGTCCGGCGTCAGCAGCTTTCTCTGGGCCTCGTCGTGCTGCCGCCGCCGCTCCGCCTCCAGGCGGGTGTAGTACTCCTCCTCCTGCCTCCTCTGGGGAACCACAAGTGTTAGTCAGGCCCCTGAGCTGGGACCAGGACCTCTACTGCCCCTTCAGCTACAGGGCCACACTACATTCTACCATCTCTACTCCACACTGGGCTCTATGCTGCCAACGGACACGCTCAGCACACACTGCGTTCTGTTCTGTTCACATATACCCTCTTACAATCATCTGTTTAAAGCTCATTGGGTCGTTTCCTCATTTGTCACATCAAGAATCCAAGACTTCAAACTCTCACCATCGCCAACTCAAAACTCTACTCAACATCCAGTAGTCTTCCTTCTACACTTGATTTTCTGACACGTCGACACAAGAGACTAAATTCCATTCACCTAAACACCTCAAAAACCCCAAGAAGAAACATCCTGTCTCCCTCTCAGCTCAGAACTCCCTGATCCAGACTCCTCATAGACCTCCCTGATCCAGACTCCTCATAGACCTCCTCCCTGATCCAGACTCCTCATAGACCTCCTCCCTGATCCAGACTCCTCATAGACCTCCCGTCTCCCACTCAGAGTGTATGGTGTGTGTGTGTTCTGTGGCGTTCTGGGGACCGCTGTGCTCTGAGCTTTGGTTCTGGAGACAAGGCGCGTCTGAAGTCTCGTCTGTTTGTTATTTTGTGTCGTCGAGGAGAAGATCATCACCGCGGGGGAAGGTTTTGTAGAATCTGAAGAATCTGAAGGCGTTAGAGGTGTTTGTGGGGTTGACATGAGTGGAATGAAATGTATGGATGGATTTTGTGGGTTTTGGACGAAGTGGAAGAGGAGGGCAGCATTCCCTAATATTCGTTTATCTATTTTAAAATTAAGCTGAAAGACGTGACAAACAAAATACTACAAAAACAAACTGAAGGGACCCTCTCATCAAAAATGAAACAAAATTGAAATATCTGACACACACAAAACTGACCATAGCGACACAATGGGAGTCCCATGCTCACAGACAAAGACACTGGGGCAAGGATGGGACATGCAACTGGACCATTCACAAAAAAACACATTTCCATATTGCGATACATTTGACTTGATTCAAACAAACAATGGACAGATTGAACTTTAAGTAACACAGAATGTCAGAGGTTTAAATAAGCATTGGTCTGACTGGTTCACGGGACAAATGCACCACAACAGCACAGCCACAGAAGAGATGACGAGTTAAAGATGGATGGATGTCAAATGACCAGACCAGTGGATATTTAAACTATCTGCACTCACGGCAAGAGCCTAATATCAACTCAGTCAATCAGAAATAACACTGTAAAAAGTGAATTGCTAAAATTTGGCAAAATGTATCTTGATTTGAGCACATTCTGACTGCATGAAAAAACAAGATTTGCTAATGGGACCAAATAAAATACAAGAAATGTCTCCTTTGGAATGAGAAAATAAAACAGTTCTTGACATAAGACTAAATAGATTTGTCCCATTGGCAAATCTTGTCAGAATGTGCACAAATTACCGACTTATTTCTCGCAGTTATGACCTCACAGCTGACATTGAATGCTTGTATACAGAGGGACAGAGGACTGACCTTATCGTCGGCCTCTCTGTTGTTCCTCTCCTCCTCCCTCCACCTCCGCTCTTCCTCCTGCTTGGCTCGCTCCTCAGCCTCCCGTTTGCGGATCTCCTCCAGCTGCTGCTTGCGTCTGCGCTCCTCGTCCTGCAGCTGTTCGCACAAAAAGAGTCAACAAAAAGAGCGCAGCGCGGCGGTGTCAGAAGTGAGCGAGAAACACCAGGTTATTTTTTTTTTTTTTTTTTACAATGACAGATGCCAACAGTGTATGAGATTTCAATCCACATCGAGTGACTGAGAACAAAACGCTCCACGAACCACTACATGTTTGCAATGTGAAGTATGTTTGGGTTTGTGTGGACAGGACCCGCTCCCGAATGCGACAGGAGCTGCGTGCGCGTCAAGCAGAGAGTCATGCGACAGACATGCAACAAATGTGGTGGGAAAAAAACAGAAAAATACTTCTTTGTCTACGGCCTCAAACTCAAGAGGCGACAGCAGCAGACAGTTTATGAAAACACACAAAAACTATAAGAAAAACAGGAATTCAGTGAGGCATAAAGCAAACAGAAACCTTCTCCTGGGTCAGTCCACCGCAGAGCAAACACAAGTATTCCACCACTAAAGATGCAAGCCGCGGCCGCCGTGTCCTTGACCACGGAAACTCTGCTTTTCTTTGAAAGGACAAACTCAGAACTTTTGCAATATCCATTTACTGGACCGGAATTTTTGGTTACTTTGGAACTGTGAATACACAAAACTAACCTGGTTTAAAGATTACTATCAGCTCTTGTTCCATGAGAGACATTATTCCCTCAGGGTTTAGAACGAAAGCAAAGACATTTTTATGTTTGAATGAGTGCAGTGACTTTCCAGGTCTTTAGGTGTAGCATGAGGACAGTTATCTGAAGAGAAAAAAGGAAAATGAAACGTAAATGCAATTGGTACTAATGTGGATAAACTTAAGGGATTTTTTGTTCATCAAAAAAATGATTGTTCTGTTATTGAATAATATTTAAGTGATCAGACTGGTTTGTGTGGAAGGTTTGTGTGGCTCATGGTGGACTGGTCATGCATGGATCTGAACAGGCCCTGATGCTTTGAGCCATGCAGGCACCTCCCCGTGCCACTCAAACGACACTACATTCAAAGTAAAACAATGTTCACAAGAGTTTCGAGTGGACAGAGAGAAGCACACATCAGCCCAACAACATCCAATCACAGCATAGTGCTCTGCCCAAGCCACGCCCCCAATCAAACACAAGAGTTACATGGGAGAACGACAGCTCAGAAACGTGAGTGGGACGAAACCCGTCAGCAACAGGAGAACATACCAAGTCTAGAACAGAGATAGCAGCTGGGACAGCAGTCTGCTGCTGAAGAACGACAAAAGAAGAAGAGTGAGAGGGGAGGCTCAGGGGCAAACCATCAAACCCAGAGTGGAGCGGGAAAGTAAATAAAAATAAAATCAACGGAGAAAGTTGGTTCATTAGGCTCCTGTCACAATAATTACTATGTGGTTGTTCAATCACTGATGGATAAAACTACATTTCGGACCTCAATATTTATTGTCTGTACATTTTCTTTGCAAAAGAGGAGGAATCTTTTCCATTTTCTATGTAAAACCATTGGGTTTTGGCTTTAAAGGGAATTATGCAACTTTTAAGTGAGGAAAAGTTTATATTGTTGCATGTCTGACCTTGTGTTGTCCAGGTGGGTGTATGAGTGGTCAGCATTATGCCTTAACTTTTGATCACGGTCGATCAATGGTTTTGTAGGTTTTCGGTGCGAGGGTCCCAAGGCAGAGAAACCCTTCCTAACAATAGCCATGCTAACCACTCACACAGACACTGTGTTTTCACATAAAGTTCACTAATGCCCCTTCTCTTCTGCTGTTTATTTCATAACGAATGCTTTTTAATGAATGCAAAAAATGCTTTACTACAACCATCTTCAATCACCTTTCAGTTTTGACATAATAGTTTCAATAAGATCTCAATAAACTTCAGAATCAATATAGCACACATGAAACTTTATTATTGTGATCCTCGCTTTGGAATTGTAATAATTGGTCATTTATCAGATATCTGCAACACTCAATTACATGAATAATTACTAATATCAGATTATTGCTTGTAATATTTTTCAATATTTACCACCCCCCCCCCCCCAAAAAAAAAAGAAATCCTACAAACTTAAATTCAAACATAACCAAAAGACCCTTGTTTCTCATTGATCCGTAACTAAAAGAGCAACACAACATGTAATGCTGCATTAGCACCAGCACAGGGAAAGCAGCTCATGGCAAAGCGATGACAGAAGCATGTTGCAAATGCACATTGCAGGACATTCATAGTGGGAGCTCTCTGCGTTGGAAAGAGGGCTCTGTCTTTCTCTTAAGATCAGTGTGTGTGAGACATTTGTACGGACGATACACTTTTTGGTTCATATGTCCTTGTTCAGACCAGGCCACGTTAAAGCTGGGGTACCTAGCTTTCAATCCCTGGTAACAAAGGGTCCTGTGTGTGTGGATTCAAGGTGGTTCTCTCCTTTTAATATTTGGCTCACTCCACACTCAACTGTATAAAAAAATATTTGTACCAAAATATTATTTAATATTATGTTAGTTATAGATCTACATAGGATAATCTCAGATGGGCAGCTCAAAACCCTTTCATTCATTTTTCCTACTGTTTTTTATTATTTATAGTTGCTGATGCAGGTGGGTCTAAAAGTGATGTTCCAGGACATTTTTTGGACATTTACTAACATTTATATACAGTGGTCATCCTGCTCCCTATGAACCAATGGCTCCTATGAGTTTGTTATTATCGACAATTTTGTAAAGCCCTGCTGTTGTGATTTCGGGCGATACAAAAGTGAACCAAACTGCTTTGAGATCGTGGCGCTAACAGTAGTTAGATGGATTTTGTTACATAGTTATTTATTTTTTACGTTGATTGAGGTACCCCAGCTTTAAAAGGGGATGTGATATAAAGACTTGGATTATCTTATTTACTTTTACAGTTGATTATCTGGTGGCCAGGTCAGCACAGGCCTCTCCACCTCTCCTGCAGTGCGTCCTTACCCTGGCTCTCTTCTCGGCCTCTAGTCTTTGCATGATTAGCATTGTGTCCACGTCTTCGTCGTCCTCCTCCTCGTCTTCGTCGTCACTCTGTTTGGACTCCTGCAGCCGCTTCTGGAACTGCCACTCCAGCATCAGCTTCCTCAGCCGGTCGCTCTCCTCCGCCGTCCGCTCCGGTTTGGCCTGAGAACAGCACACATGATGATGACGATTGTGCCATTGTGTGTAAGTTACCTTTTTTAAATTGTAAATTGAATTTCAAATGTAGATGTTGCAAAAGTTGATGGAAAGGATTAGGCTTAGGGTAAGTACAAAATGTCTCAAATTTGAAAAAATGTATCTTAATTTGAGCACATTTGGTCTGCCTTAAAACAAGATTTGCCAAAGGGACAAGCAAAATAGTCTTGTTTTAAAAAATATACAAGAAAAGTCTCCCTTGGAATGAGAAAGTAAAGCAACAGTTCTTGAAATAAGACTAAATGCCTTTGTCCCATTGGAAAATCTGTTTTAAGAATTAACTGAAAGAAATGATTACCTCATATTTTATCATTTTTTGCAGTGTACAGGCGCACTTATTAGTTGAGCAAGTACTGTAGTTTATCTTGTTTCGAAAAAATCTCCTATAATAATGTGAACCCCACTTCAGCCTGTTCCCAGGTCTCTGCGCACGCTCGGTCTCACCTGTAGGTCCTGGATCTCCTTGTCCAGGAGGTCAACAATGTGCAGTTGCTGCTGTTTCTCGGCCTTCTCGCGGGCGTCTCTCTTCCAGGGGTCGGGGGACAGACTGTCGCTGGACAGATCCTCTTTGCTGATGGTGATGTACTGCAGGTCCCGCCGCTCGATGGTGCGCGGCTGCTGCTGCGGCAGGAGGTCTCGGATCACGGTGTCCATGCCTCAAGAGACACATACCAACAGATTTCAGTATTTATGCCCCGCCCACATTCAATTCAACGATGTACAGTGATTATCCATGATTTTAATGCTGTATAAACTGTGCTATATAAATAAACATGCCATGCCTCAATTCTGTATCAGATTAAGATCTGATACTAGATTCCTTTTTTGTCCCACTGTGGGTAGATTTCAGTTTTGCACCACAAGTTACAGAGCAGTAGGAATCAGGAGCACACAACACTCAAGATAAGTGAATATTAAGAATAGCACAACTCGAAAACCAACTTGAAAATCTAATTTCTCTATCTTTAGCATGATGAACCTCAAAGTATGAAAAATAAAATGTAAAGTATAAACTCAGAATCAAAAGTACTTCTTTTTCCATTTCAATTAACAAGAATAACTAGGAATGTGCTTTGACTCGGTGCAAACAAGTTATAAAAAGTAAAACTAAATATAAGACATACATAAACAATCTTCATAAAATGTCAACTATATACAAGTTATTTGGTTTAATAGTAAAAGTATAAATCTATAAATAAGGCAATAGTTTTTTAATGAAATGTTATGAGAAAGAGACATGAGATGGAGCCCTGAAACTGTATAAGAGATAAGAGGAGAAGAACAAAAATCAATAACAGAGAAAAAATGAATAAAAAAGGGACCGCCAGGTTGCTGTATACAAAATTTCCTGGGTTAAAGGGCTACTTTGCAGCCTACAAAGAAGTTTTTTTTCACATACCCTAAAAAGATGAAATATAGCAGCAATCTTTTCAATTCAGCAAAACAAGATTAAAAACTAAACCAAGCTTAACCAAAATAATTGCTTAGACTGGAGACACAACTGTCGCAGTCTGAAAGTCAATCATTCCTCAAAATCTCTCAAAGTCAAGTCTCAAAGGAAAACTTCTTACCGTTGCCAGGACTGGGGCCAGAGGCGGGTGGAGGGACAGCCGATCGGGGCAGACTCGACAACTTCTCTGGCCGGGACGGGGGCTGAGGGGGAGGCATATAGGGCTGGGGCGGGGCCACAGAGGCCATGGGCGGCTGGTGGTGATGGGGGGGCATGGAGCCGCCGTTGTTGTGCGGCTGGACGGGCATCACCGGATTGCCTCGGATCTGAACCAGCTTTCTCTCCTGCTCCCGCCTCTTTCTCTCCCTGAAATAAAACAATGAAAAAAACTTTAAAAAAAATTTAAACAGTTCCCAGAATGGACCATCTGAAATTAAATGAACGTGAATAAGCTCGACACAAGTAAAATCACATATAGTCCCTGAATTTTGACATTTTTAAAAATCATTATATTAGCAGGATTCAGCTCAGTTTTAATGACCTTACATACTGTTATTTCTTCTCTACTGGATGACTGCAATGTGTTTTTAATATGTATTCATCAAATATCAAAGCAACCACCTCCAGCTTGTTCAGAATGTGGATGAGTGAGTTTTAATCCAGGCAAACAAAGAGAAAACACATCACTTAGATTTGAACACAGTGGTTGCCCATTGCTTTTGGGATTGATTAAGATTGGACTTGTTACTTTTAAAGCCCTCTATGGTCATGCCCCAGAGTATTTAACATAACTTCTGTGTCTATACGAGCCAGAACACTGTCGTCTGACTTAAGACCAAAGGGGACTATTTCATATGAGGAGCTCCGGCAAATTCTGTAGCATAATCTAAACACTCCTAAAAACACACTTTTAGAAGAAATATTTTTATAGATTTTAGATTTTTTTCATTGTTATTGCATTGTATTTATTATAAATTAAATATTTACATATTTACATATCTTGGTTTTATCCAGTTGTTTTCTGCACTTTGTCTGATTTGAACCTGTTGTATGGGGTTGTGTGAAGTACTGATCATTATTACTACTACTATGACCACCATCACTACTATTATCATCATCATCATTATCATTACTATAACTTATTCAAATACAACCAAAGACACATTTTGAGTGACGTCTTCCTGCTGTGGTGGAGCTGATGTGAGGCTGGTTGTCGCATCTGCAGCGATGGAAGAACAAGTGTGCGTCTGTGGCACATATTTGAAAGGAGGCTCTGTAGATGTGATGATCATTTCCTGAGGTTAGGCCTTTCTGCGAGTTTGACCCGTGAGATGATGGACGACTTCAGTTTGAACCACAAAAACAGCTGCTCTGGTCACTTTCATTTCAACTTCACTCCACTGTTCCATTCTGACCCCACTGTTATTGACCCCAGTGACCAGACGCTTTTTCATCAATATGACTGGAACTTAAACTCCAGCAAGGAAAGGAGGCCTTAAGCCCTGTTTCCACCTACCCTACCCTACAAAAGTGACAGAGGCAACACTCATGGACCCAGACGGCTTTAGAGCCAGAACATATGTAGTCAGAACATACGTAGTCAGTTAAATGCTTTATCCCAGGCCTCCTGAAACAGAGCAAAGACCTGAGAGCAGCCTCACCTCTCCTCCTCCAACCGAGCCTTCTCCTTCTCGTACCACCGCTGTTGCTCTTCGCGCTTCTTGCGGTCAGCAGCCTGTTGTGCTGCGGCAGAGCCCACGGCGCTGGGTGGCGGCGGCAGGGGCAGCTCGCTCTGGGGCTCGTAGGGGTCGAAGGGGTCGGGGTAGGCCGCAGGGGGAGGGGGAGGAGGGGGAGGCAGGTCTGAGCGGGACGGTGGCTGAGAGGGGTGAGAGGGGTGAGGGGGGACCGGGGCGTGAGGTGCGTTGGGGGTCTTCCATCGGCCAGGGCCTGTTTTCAGAGTTCCACTTTTGTTGGAGGAACTCGATGCAGCAGAGAAGTTTAGGTGCTCCTGACTGGAGGTGGACGACTCGAGCGACGAGGGGATCTGGGGCTGGGGCGCCCACATTTCAGGACCTCCTGTAGAAACATGATTTGACTTTTAGTATCAATTGTTTTGAGTAAAATACAGTACTTTGCAGTTAAAAACATTGTACTTAAATGTAATTTACATGAAAAACTAAATGGGTTTCTCACAATTTTGAAAAATGCAAACTCTAAACTTTGTTCATTGCTTAAAACAAATATAGCTTCCACTGTGGCATAAAGAATTGGAAAGCTATTCCAGGTATCCTGTACAACAGCACATTCTCACCTCCAGGGGGCGGCCTCTGGTAGTCCATTTCCCGATGCTGGTAGTCCATATGGGGGTAGTCCTGGTGGTAGTGGGGCTGCATGTCGGGCCTCATGCTTCCAGGAGGGGGATACAGATCCTCTTGTGAGTGGTTCACTCTCTGGGCAACAGCAGGGGAGGGACGTTAGGACACAATCGTGCAGAGAGTTAAGCCTAGCGTACATCGGACTGGCAACTGATTATATCCGTCGCCTCTGAGTTGCTGCCCCGCACACATCGACAATCTGGCGAAAACGGGCAACTCTGAGTCGCAGGCCAGTCTCTTGAATAACAGCGCGTACATCGACAGCAACTGGCCTCAACTACAGTGTGTTTTCTGACAACAAACTGTTGCGGGCTCGCAATACACGCAATACACACACGTTGTTGGAGCGGCGCATGGAGCGCGCACATCGGGGCAACTGAGGACAACTAGTTGCCGAAAAGTAGAACACGGGCAACTGACTGGAACTGGAGACCGACTGATCATCTCCAGTTGTAAGAGCGCGCACATCGACCGATTTCGGCAACTGATCATCTCCCACCATCTCCTCTCAATTGCCAAAAGCCGCCTTGCAACTAGTTGTCCCCAGTTTCTCTGTCGATGTACGCTAGGCTTTAAGCTCCAATAAAAACCTCTTCTTACCTGCATACTATTGTGTATATTGTCGCCCATAGACATCCTCTCCCTGTCGTCCATGCCCTGCCAGTGCTGAGGAGGGCCCTGTCCTGGAGCCACGCCCCGGTCCTGGCTTTTGGAGGCTGGGATGGTGAAGTACTCCCTGGGATACGTCTGTGTGGGAATGGGGTACGCTTCAGGGTGCGGTGGAGAGGGCTCATCCTGAACACAACACCTCAACGTTAGAGAACGGACAAAAATATACAAGCACCGGACTCCAAACACATTGTCGAAGTCTGATGAAAGATGAATTCTCGTGCCGGCTCTAAATACAGTGTGGTGTTGTCACTGCGCTGCTATGGGGCTTTGGGACATTCCTCATTAAGGTGATGGAGAAATCATTACTCACGTCAGCGCACAGGTTTCCAGTGGACACAGAGGTGATCTTAGTGCCAGGACCTCCGGGGTAAACGGCTTTTCCTGCAGGACTCTGGCTCTGGTCTGGAAAACAAAGACATATTTTGTTTGATGACAACCGTTCATAAATCACGTTACATGAAAAACTTGCTGAAATATAACCACAAGCATGCATCTGTACATGTAGACTGTAGATGTAGATATACAACTACATATTTCTTGCACTCGAATATACACTATTTTATACTTACTCTTTATTATGCTAAAGTTAGATTTTATACTTGCTTCTTTAATATGCTAAAGATATAGATTTTATTAAATTTTTGTATTTTTTCATTTATCTTGTGCTGTGTGCTCCTCATTCCCACTGTTCTGTAACTGCTGATTTCAGTTAACTGCTGATTTTCCCCACGGTGAGATGAATAATGGATCTTGTATTTTTATGTAAGGGAGATTTCATATTTGAAGCCGGACTAGGGCAGTACGTACTGGCCACGTTGGGACTGGAGCGGTGGTCGGCCCGGTTCTTGAGAAGACGGTCTTCGCTGCTCTTCTTTGGTTCTGGGTACGACTCCCAGGCTCCCTGGGGGCTCTCTGGAGACCCGTTCTGCACCGAGGTGTTATACAGCTCAAAACCCTCGCTCTTTGGTCGCAGTTTACCGTTCTTCTCTCGCCGGTCTGAAGCTGAAGAAAAAATTAAATGTTAAACCGTTAAATTACAAGTTCAAAGTTAAGTCCTTTGTGTTACTAGAGAAAATATTGCAGTCATTTCAGAATCAGAATCAGAATCAGTTTTATTGCCACGTAAGTAACAGGAGGTCACAGACTAGGACATTGCTTTGGCTCAGTGCAACAGATTTCAATCACCTGCCTAGAGCCTGAACCTTTAGTTTAGTGAGCAATCATAATCATGGTCATCTCTAAGGGTATGCAAGAGCTTCTTCAGCATTTGGGCTATCACTATAGTGACGTCAGCGCTCAGTCAGTCCACTATACGCTCTATGGCGGTGTCTTAATCTAACCCTCTAAAGCCGAACCATTGAGAAAACACCAATTAAACATGTGTGTGCCTTTTCCATTGCTCTCATAGTTTCCTGACAGACCGGGAGTCCTTTACTGCCTACAGTTAAACTTCAGTATCTGTAGTTTTACTGGTGCAGCCTTTCGCATCACTGTGGACTGGGCTTCCTTAATGGATACAGGTCACATACCAGGACAAAGCGCAGACACTGCAGCCAGTAAAGTCCCAGCTGCAGCGGCGGCGCGCACACAAACACTCATTATGGTCTGCAGCTTCTGTCCGCTTCTCCACTTACAGCCTGCAGGCCATTAGGGAGCACACTGCACCATTCATACATTCATACATTCAACTTTTCTAATCTGAACCGGGAATATCTTCATCTCAAGTGCAGAAGCAATTCATTACTTATTCCTTGACACGTGGGAATGATTATGGGGGCACATTTTGGGGATGGCAAAAAAGAGCCATGCTCATTTATTGTACACACAAACAGGCTGGAAGCAATTTTAAAAGTATCAATAATTTTTCATGTCCTGAACCATCTAGGTTTAGTATTTCATAACAAACTAAAATTGAAATTCCTAATATGTTTGCAGTCGCTTCAATGTAGTATTGATAATGGGGAAGGCATTTCTGTTTCTTGAAATTATAATTGTACCTCTAAAACCGCTCAAATAAACTATTGCTACTGCTACTGCTACTAACCTGGTGAACATAATAGGAGTTTAGTAGCACCATGTAATTAGATACAGATTTGGGACTAATGGATTTACTTATTGAATAGTCCTTATTCATGGATGTATAATATATCCTAGATTGGGTATTGCCATCTTAAACCTGTCCCCACATGGACAAGAGGCACTGCAGCTTAAATTCACAAGAACTATAGAGGAGATTTTCCCAATGACCTCAATGTTAACTAAAATGGCGAGTCCTCAACTGACAGCGACCTACAGCTTTGACAAAGGTTGGGTTTTGGGGGGATTTTAAGTGTCCCTTTGTCATCCTGAACAATTCTTTTCAATTTACCTACATTGTTTACAAGATAAGCACAGTGTTTGTCTATATAAGTACAGAAAAAAATCAAATTATTTCTTCCAAAGTCTGAGTCCTCCTGCCGTACTACCCCAGAGAATCATTTTTCTGATAATGCAATCAGTATATTATCATGTACGCTCACTTCAACCATATTTTTGGCTTGTTTAAAGCTGCAGTACCCAACTGTGTGTGTTTATTTACATTTTATACACATTCTGTATTTATCTTATTAGAAAACCTGGTCAATTTTGCAAATTGACTATCAAGGTTAAGAGCTGATTGTGGTTAGAGTGACCGTGATCCTCTCTTTTTCACTTTTATGTCTGAAAAAGCTGATCTAAAAATGTGACAAGAGTCCAAAAAATACAGACATGGGAAAATTAGCGACTATACCAAACTGTTTTGAGAGATATAAAATGGCTTGTGTCACATAGTTCCATCTGTTATAGTGTGAATGTTAGGTGCCCCAGCTTTAATATTTGGTTTATTTCCTTTCGCCTCAAGTTCTCTCCTCATTTCACTTTTTCTTTTTTGTGCAGAGCCTCAACTGAACCTGCTCTGAATTAATTCTACTTCTACTGGAGGGAAAACAATGCATTTCTATGAGTCAATGCTCTCACCTCTCTGCATCAGGGGGCTGGGCTGGTTTAGCAGCGTTGCTAGTCCGTGGTAAATGGCTCCTTGCTTGGCCACCTCCAGAGTCACCACTGAGCCCGTCCTGGTCATCAGCTCTGCCGCTCTGCACAGAAAAAAGTTCATTAAAAAAAAAAACACTGTACTTATTTTGCAAAAGTACAGAAGTCTTCAGTTGAATATACCAAATTTTATATTTAGTTCTGATTATGCTCAAACTATAAATGTTATACTTGCTTCCTTATTATGCTAAAGCTAGAGAGTTATCGTTCATTTATCTTTTGCTGTGTGCTCCTCATTCCTTTCTGTAACCAGTGATGCAACACTGAAATTTCCCCACTGTGGGACGAATACAGGATCTCTTAATCTTAATCTTAGACAGCAGTTGTAATTCTGCCGCTTTCTACCTCTGACTAGGCACGCTAATTGCCTGCGGTTTGAGTAATAGCCAAACACTAATGAGATTTCCGTACGGTCGCATGCAAACTGTCAGAGAAAGAGAAGTGTAAGCTCTAATTTGAAGCAGGAGGTAGGATTATATTTGTCATCGCCAGAAGCTCTTTGGTCTAATTTAGGTACATGTTCTCTGAAGCACATGTGCTTCTGTGTTGGACCAGACTCTGTGGAAGCTGAGGTCACATGTTTGATGGAATGTATAGTTAGAAAAAGTATCTTTACAGTACTTGCTGGACAATAAAACATACGTGTATAAATGTTAAAAGAAAGAAAATGTTGTCCAAAAATAGGCCGCACTTGAATATAAGCTGCAGTTTTTTTATGTAGTAATGTAGCACCTAACAAAGAGATGACGGAGAAAAATAAATCTGATGTACAATTGTTTTAACTGGACACAAAATGATTTAAAGACGCGGTAAGGAAGAGGCAAACATTACCTCGCGTTAGCATGCTTAGCTTACAATGTTCAAAGCCAGCTTATAAACTGTTCCATTTATCTGTATCTTAAACGTATCTTCCCTTAATCCTTCACACAACCCTACAGAGTGAAGGGGTGTATCTTCTCTCTATTCTGTGATTATTTATGAGTGTAATGCCTCGTTTTCTTGTTTTGTTCAATACTTTGAGTTTCCTTGTGTATGAACTGTGCTATACAAATACATTTGCGGTGTTCAAAATGTCAATAGACGATTCCACAATCATATGCTACACCACCTCTGCTGATGTGACCTAAAGTGTTGTTGCATTTTAATCACTATTGTCTATTTATTAGTGGGGACGGATATGTTTTTGATGCTGGACACCTGAATTTCTCCTACGGTGGATCAATAATGTATCTTTCCATCCATCTATCCATGAGTCCATTTAATGTATATGTAAACTGCAACATAATGGTATTAATGTAACGCTCGCACAGAAGCCCGAACATTGAAGCCAAAACATATTTGATCTGTCGGTTCGAGCCTTTGAGCCAGTGCCCTGCTGCTCCCTAAACACACACACACACACGAGCGCGCACACACACACACGCATACACACACTCTTTTCTTTGGAAAACGCTCTTTTGGGCCAAACAGGCTGCAGCTGCTCTACGGACGCACCATAAAATAGTCCAGACTTTCTCCTAAAAGCCAAACTAACATTTCACCTCAAAAATGCTTTGCTCATGAGCCCACTTGCATCATCACGACCATAACTGCGTCAATTCTCCGCAGTGGGCACTGTAAGAACTAAAGTGCCATGTTTGTTTCCACTAACGGGATTAGCAAGAATGACTTCAGTAGCTAATTATAATTTACACATTTAGCTGGGGATTTCCGAGTGTAAACGTCACCAAACAGAGGATTTAAAAGACTATTTAGACTGTTTTGTACCTTTCTTGGGACAGGCCAACGAGGCTGCGGCCATCGACGCTCAGCAGCTGGTCACCTGCTGCCAGACGCCCGTCCTACAACCACAAACCAGACACATGAGTCATTCTGATGCCATCGTTATTCTAAACTTTTCTGTTGTTTAGCTCACCACGTCAGCTGCTCCTCCTTTGACCACGGACTTGATGTAGATGCCCAGTTTCTCCTGACCAGCCCCCTGTATGAAAAATCACAAACATATGATTATAAATAACTGTGGCACCTGGTGTTCCCAGTGGTCTCTCATCACAGTACTAATCAAGCCTTGCCCTGCTTAGCTTTTGAGCATAGACAGGATCAGGCATCCACGCACAGGTATGACATGCAGAATTGTCATTATATATTCTTCCAAATCAATAGACAACAAACAATGCCATAAAATTGTATTATAAAACGTTGCATTGTATTGTATTAAACTTCCAAAATATACATTTTCCATTGAGACAATATTTTTTCAAGTTTTTCTTCAAACTAAATTAACATTGAGCATAAACAAACTGCACAACGTTCGCCAACACCATACAGGGAACCACACGACGGCAACGTCCTGTGGTTTGGACGTTTTACAGACTTTCTCAAAGCGCTGGCTCCTCATCATACGATCTGACTCTTGCCTCTTCCTGGGTTATGTTTACATTGCGTTTGTGGAGGATAAAAGATATTCTAGAAATGTATCTCTGTTACAACACACCACTGCATTTGGCCCAGAACCTGAAGGATTGAGAAGAAATGTTGTTTGCAATGAAAACAGACTGCTTGTTTTACTTTTCCCTCCATTGCATTTACATGAAATAAACCACCACTGACTGGCAGCAGTAGCCCCGTTCCACCAGCCCTACTTGGTCCTAATCTACTCTACGCTACTAGGCCCTACTCTACGCTACTAGGCTCTACTCGACTCCACTCGGCCCTACTCGACTCCACTCGGCCCTACTCGACTCCACTCGGCCCTACTCTTGGAAGCGTTTCCACCGCCCACTTACTAGCACCTGCTTTACTAGGTTCTGGTTCTATCAAGGTCGAACAGGTACTATAGTGTTCTGACTGACAGAGATTGGTCAGAGTGCTGCTGGAAGCCATGGTTACCAAGGAACTTCCCAGGATACCGTTTTGTTGCGGGTAGGTTGCTATAGGATACTAAAGCGTAATGGAAATGCAACCAGAGTAGAGCAGAGTAGAGTAAGGCAAAGTCGGGCTGGTGGCGATGGGGCTAATGTGAGAGTGGAACATATACTATAGACTTTATTTCTATTCAATTTTGATCTTGGCCTTGTGTCCAATTGTATTTACTGCATGAGCCACACAGAGGCACCTTCTACGAATGAAGAATCAGAGTTTTATTCTTTTTCCAGTCTGGCAACGCGGCTCGAGGCCCGAGTTTGAGGAGCAGCTTCTGTTAAAAGAGAGGGCTGACGTCTCACTGGGGTCAGAGACAGGTTAACCATGTATGTGTCTGCTTCATGCATTTAGAAATCATTACTCAGACAAATGTGGGGAACAGGAGTCAAGAAATAAGTTTGCTTCGGTCATTTAGTGCACTATCCTATACTTATGGATAACTGAAGGGTTAGAAAGTAATGCAAGTAAACTTATACAAGGTATGCTAAACCATTTTTTACTTAATTTTTTTCCCATTTAAGCTATTATCAGGAACTTCGTCAAGTGAAATGACCTGCTTTTAACAATCACATAACTGTTTTTGAAGACTGTAATTTTCAAAAGTGAGAAAAAAATAAACAAAAATGTTTTGCTGTGCAATATTTTCCTGTACTTTTTAACTTGTTTTATTTTATATATTTGTACATGTATTCGAAGGTGGTTTTACTGAAAACTAAATGTGAACAAGTAGTATGAAAAGTCTAAGTCAAGAATATTTTGTCTTTAAGTAAAAAAAAAAAAAAAAAAAGCAATGCACTTAGATTGAACCAAACTGCTGCTAAGACCACACTGAGCATGTTTGCTAAAACAGTGGAGACAAGAGCTGCTGGTATCCAAGATCAACAGGTGCTCATAAACAAAACAGTTCAGGCCCTCACATGATTAGATAAAGGCTTTCTAACTAATCGTGTGAGCTCAACATTTTGATAATCATAAAAGTGTGCAAATACATTCTTCTAAAATATCTTAAAGTTGTTGAAGATTTTCAATTATAGCCAAACAAACCACAAAGCCCAGCAATATAAACTGCATAAAGCATGTTAGAAAGATTAAATCCTGCATATTTCATTACTAATTGGGTGTTTTAAAGTTGTCTGTTAGTTTAAGGTGAAAAGGAAAATTAAATGTGATTCTGCACATACTCAAAACAACGTGGGTGAGATACATCACCCACTTACAGTAGTAGCCTTCAAAATGTAGTCAAAAAGTCCAATATTGTTGTTACATCTCATTCTCTGGTTACACAAGACCTTGTTTACCACATGGAATCGGTTCAGCATCTTCCTGGAGCAGGAAACTTCTCTGAACGATTGTGAACGAGGCGAAAAGCCGTTCAAAGCACTCTGCAACAATGAGACGAGGGAGCTCAAATAAATAACTGCTTCACATACTTGCAATAGTTCTTTGGTGAATGGGAACGGGTTTTTTTTTACGCTGCAGAATTCAATGTCTGCAAAGTTTTCCATTGTGTCTGAGCAGACATTTTTTACTTTGCCGGTAAATGGACTAATGGAAGTGCCACAAAGTCCTTACTCGGCACAATAGACAAGAAATATTGTAAGTTACCTATTGTAACTACGTTTCCATGGTCAGTGAGGATTCCGATGCAATTTACCGTGGACTAATACTTAAAAACTCATGTAAGAATTACAGGATCCTTATCACTCCACCTGAGCCATCACAATAGCAACACAAACAATTAACTTAACTTTTGCGTTATAAAGTTATTTTTTTAAGGTCTCTTACTTGGCAGGATGTTGCTAAGCATGCAAAATACTAGACTGGAATCTGGCAGCGAAGTTTGAGATGACATTTAAAGTGGAAGAGGGCTCTCTGTGAGTCATCTGGTGTACATTACAGAACATTGTCTGTGTGAAAAACAGCTCAGTCCTGATCCGGAGACAGGCGCCATCAGAAATGTCCCATTCGGGGATCCCCTCCAGCACCAGGGCCTCAGCAAATGCTACAGCCTGTTCTGGGATCAACAGTCAAAGCCATTCTCTGACAGTATTTTTTCGATAAGCAGCTAGCAGAATTTATTGAGTGATAAAATGGTTTTCTTTGGTACTGACAACTACACAAACCTGTCACGATAACACATTTTGATGCACATATATATTGATTCTAGGATTGTTGTTGACCAAAGAAAAGTATTTTACAGCATATTCATGGCTTTTTGACAGCTGCAGCAGCGCTCAGACCTGCAACGAACAGGTTTGATATTCCCACAATCGCACTTTAGCAGTCAAAAGTTCAGGTGGTTAGAAAAATTAAAAAAACAATTTGTGCTAGTTACCAGTCAAAAGTTGAAAAACAGAAGAATGAAGCAATAAGAAGCAAAAACAGCAACATCATCACAGAAAACCATCTCATTATTGCAAAGAAAATTTATAGATGATAAATATTGAGGCCCAACATGTATTGTTCCATAAATTACTTAATAAATATAGTCAATATAGTAAAAAATATGACAGGACTACAGAAAAATTATTTTATTAAACTAAATGTCTACTACGTTTCAAACTGTGAAGAGAGAGTGGCACTTTTTGAAACAAGCACTGGTTAGACCCGCCCATGTTTCCCCCCACAGCGTCCTGATGTGACCAATAAGATATGACCACATCTTATTGGTCATATATGTGCCAAGGGGATTGCACTCTCGCTTCTCAGCATAAGGTCCTGGGTTCCTGAGTGATCTGAACTTTCTGAGTCGAGTTCGTATGTTCTACCCGTGTCTGCGAAGGTTTCCTCTGAGTGCTCCGGTTTCCGCTAACCCTAAAAACCATGTACAATAGGTCTGGCATGCGCCTCCTGTGTGGCAAACCGGCTCCATTTGGGGTCACAGTTGTGACTCTGGTCTGTGAAAAGCGCAAATCTTAGTAAAAGTAAGATTACTACTACATACCACGTATTAATTATATCATGCATGAACTCATGTACAATTATTATAAAGTGTTACCAATTATATTATAGTTGAAAAATATTTTATGTGCCCCATGGTCATAAATAGCCATTATTAAAAAGGGAACACCATTTTAAAAGGTGTTAATTTAATGACAATGACAGACTGAAACAAGTTTTTTTTTACACACATCCTTAAAGCCAATCCTTTTTAAAGACTGCCAAGAGGACCATAAATAGTCTACATGTATACTCTTCGGTTTGTAAGGTATTGCCTGCCCGCTCCATTCTAAAACCACTCACATCTCAAAACAACAATGGCGTCAACATTATTGTAATCTTTAAAAGTAATTTCAGCGTCTTTTCTCCACATTAACCAAATGTTTATCTCTTGGTGAAGCCTCCGAGCTTGCTGATACGAGCACACACAGGCCAAAGTGGATCCAGATGCCATGTTTTTTTCATTACAACTTATCTTTGGACAAGACAAAATTGACCTCAACGCAGCTGCTTTATCACTGATAGTAACCATAGACAGTATGTTATGAGAAAAGCAGAGTAACCATAGGAGACAGATCAATAGTAATATATCCAGCATCTGAAGTGGCTTTTGTGTGATTTTGTACTTTTTTTGTGGAGGATTATAGAAGAGCCTTGTGTACATTCAACTATAGCTTTGCAATAAGCACAGAAGTGGCCTGGAGGAGTATTTACACAAGGAATTTAAAGATGGTATAGTGAACACACAGGAGGTTGCATTTTGAGTTATAAACAGGTGAAACTCAGGAAATTAGAATGTCATTCAAAAGTATATTTAGATGTTTTCAACTTACAATGTGAAGTCAATATAAGACAGACCAAATACAAGAAAAAAAATTGATATATCAAGCTTTTATTTAAGTTATAATGTTGATAATTGGATCACAGCTTGTAACAACCCCAAATACAACCTCATGGCAAATGGGTATACTGTAGTTTGACACCATCCATCCATCCATCCATTTTCTACCCTTTAATCCATTTCTGGGTCAGGGGGGTGGCAGTCAGAAATGCCACCCAAGTCTCATAGCACCAGCCCCTCACTGACCCTCTGCAGGTGGTGAGTCCACAGGAGGCACA